AACATTTTTAAAATGACAAAATTATAGAAACAGAGAACAGATAACAGATTAGTGGTTGCCATAGGTTAGGGAGAGGGTGTGAGGTAGGGAGGTGGGTGTGGTTATAAGAGGGCAAAAAGGCGGGATGCTCGGCTATGGAAATATTCCGCCCTTGGCTATATCGGTGTCAATACCCTGGTTGCGATATTGTGCTGTAGGTTTGCAAGACATTACCATTGAGGGTAAAGGGTACATAGGATCTCTCTATATTATTTCTTACAACTGTATACCAATCTGCAATAATCTCAAAATAAAGGGTTTAATAAATAAATTGCCAGCATATAAAAATTAGGAAGATCAGCTCTAGGTCTTTAGAAATCAGAGGATAGGGCAGTGCTGGTCTTACATTTCTCAGTGGTAACAGTCCCGTGTCCCCACATTTACACCTGGCCACCTTCCCACATCTGTATTACCTGGTGGATGCTCCCCCACACACACACACCTTGAGTCCTGCATACTGGGTTTCTGTTTAAGATTCTGTTGGACAAAAGGGGCCCACTGATAACATATTTGTAAAACACTAGTCGAGTCCAAACTTTCCTAACACTTTCCTAATAAGAAGAAGCCAAAGCCCAGAGACATCATGAATGGCCCAAAGCCACCTGGACACTCAACATCAGAACCATAATCTAGGTGCCAGCATCTTCGCTACCTGCCTCTCTGAGGTCAGGGAGAAGGGACAAGACAAAGTTAGCAGAGGCCCTGCGGCAGTGCCCACACAGCCCTGGTGACAGCACAGAGACAGCAACAATCGACCATCCCAGAGAGAACCCCCCCCCTCCGTAGGACACAGAGGCGGCCACTTTGTCCAGCCAGGCCTGCAGCCATTGTATCAATGCTCAGTGACAGAACAGGGACAGTTCTGGAGTGCCACAAATCTAGTGAGCCTGCTTTGCTTAGAGCTGTTTGGAAATTCACAGCCAGCCAGAGAGAAGAGCAAAGAGGGAAAGAAGAGAGAGGGCAAGGGAGAGAGAAAGGGAGAGAGGTCCCGGGATGCCCACAACAGCTGCTCAGGGGATGCCTAGGGCTGTCCTGGTCTCTCCAGTTGTGGGTTTCAAACTTGCTATGCTGGCAGAACACTGAGGACAAAAATATCCACAAAATGCAGGTAACTTTTGTTACCCATCACTGCCCACTGCTCCTCACGAGGGTTCCTTTTGAGAGAGGGCCCAGAGCCATGTGGCGCCATGAGAGCCGGCCACGTGAGCGGGGGAAGAGGACACTGCAGGGGGAGAGAGGAACCAGCGAGTCCCGATCTCTGTTGGAAGGCGGAGTGGGGTGAGGGGAGAAAAAAGAACCTTGGATGGTTGTGCAATGGAGAAAGCACTTGGGAGGGTTTTTATATTGTCTGCGGAGGCATGTGCAAGGCGACCCTCACCTTCAACCCCTCTGTGAACTCATCACTCAAATCAACTTTGTTCCTTAACACTCGGGGACTCAGAGAGGTGCAGATTTTTTATGTAGGTGAGCATCAGGTAAACACAGAGATTGCACATATAGATAGTTGCGCCGCAAGGAGGGGGCCAGGGGATGTCTGGGCTACACACTGAGGTCCTCCAGGACGGTTACACCCGGGCGGTGGGGTCCAGATGCCTCACAGATTCAAGCCCTGCCTAGAACAAAGCCAGGCTTGTCCTACTCCCAGTTCCATCAGGGCTGCCACAAATGGACCCAACCTTCCAAGCCATGAGTACCCAGAATGCCTTCCCAAAGTCAGAGAGAAGCTGTGGCGACCTCTCTGAGATGGAGGCTCAGCTTTTGGATGGAGGCACTATTGGTGCTCTGCTACTGCAGAGGACAGAGGAGGCTGGCAGCCACAGCGCTGCCTGTACTCACTAGAGCAGGTCCCGTGGGGAACCTGGCAAGAGGCTAGTGTTTCTGCCCACCTGGGAAGTTTGCTAAGGTGCTGGGTCTTTCCTGGGATGGGAGCCAAATCCACGGCAGATGCCTGGACTGTTCAGGAGCCCACCCTGCCTCACCTGTAAATATAGGGCTCCTGGAGAATAGGCTCTGCCTTGGGCTGGCCAACAAGTGGGCACTGGAGCCTTGAAGGGAAGCTACCTGCTACCAGGTACCAGAGACATCATCAGAGCATAGGGAACCAGAGCCCAGAGGAGAAGAAGGGAGGGGAGGGCAGAGCTGTGGGATGCTCTGGGACTCCGTGGGGCGTGAAAGACCCAGGAGGCCAAGCAGCCACAGGTGAGGGGACAGTTTGCAGGGCTGTCTAACATGAGGACTTACACTTGCCCTGTAGCCGCCAGTGCCACTGCCTGGTACAGAACACCTGACACCACTCATGCAGCATTACTGCCAGCTTTCCCAGCACACAGCAGCAGGAAGGAGAAGGCACCTCTGGATGTGTACAAACCCGTATAGGCTGTCACCATGCATAGGCTGCTGGGGTCCAGGGTTTGGCACACTCAGGCTCTGCTGGAATAAGACACCTGGAAGGGTGAAGCCCCTCTGGGGAGACTCAGCCTTCAGAGAAACCCTTAGACTTCTCACCGTGAGTACCACCGAATTGGGAGAAAGAGAAGGAGGCTGTGGGTCAAGGTATGGGGTTGCAGCTTCCAACCTGGAAGTGGGGACAGAGGGAAGTGGGACTCAGACCCCTTTGGGAGCAAGGCCCGTAACCAGCCTGGACTCAGGGTGGGACAAGTGTGCTCCCTTCTGCTCAGATGGTCACTTGGGTGAGCCTGAGGCCCCAGCGGGGACCAGGAGCCACAGCCACTACTTTAGGCTTTGATCACAGAGTTGAACCTCTGCAGCCACTGCACCCCCATACCCACCCTCAAGATCCACAGGCTGCTTGGGATTTTATGAAATGAAATGAAAATGCTCACCCTCTCCCTGTGGTCATGGGGAGGATAAGCATTTTGGGGGATGCTGTGAGGACAACCCTCCAGAAATTAAAGCCAGGAAAAGGAAGAGGAGCAGGAGGCTTATTCTCCCCAGTCCTCGGCAGAAACCTTACAGGCGCCCCAGAGCCTTCACTGCACAGCCAGTGACCCCAGAGGGAGGGGCTGACGGTGGCACAGCGTCTGTGAGGGCAAGGTGGGGGCCTGGGACTGAGGGAGGAAGCAGGCTGGAGCCTCCTCTTTGGTCCTCTCTCCAGATTTCCCTACAACAAAACCCTACACTAGCTTCGGGAAAGGCTCTAAGACCTGAAAGAGAGTTCTCAAGATCCCAAGTCCCCCTGCCTTCTGCTGGTGACTGAACCAGGCTCTTGTGGGGTTAGGCCCAGGGGAAAGGACTAACTTCCCCACTTATTTGTAGGACCAGGCAGAACATGCCCCAGGAGATGCTTCTGAAAGCTGGGAATGGGGAGGCCAAAGACAAGGTTTGGGGACCATCCTTAATACTTCCTTTTGTGTTCTCCTCACTCCTAATTTTGCAGTGCCTGCAAATATTCCAGGAGAAGTACAAAAGACAGAAGTTCCCTGTCATCTACCTCCACCAGTACACGCCTGCCTTCTAAACAGTGTCCGATTAACAAGGTACAAGCTTAGAACGACTGGCCGGAGGAACATAAAGTGATCAGAAGTACCCCAGAGGAGGTGCAGGAGCCAGGAAGGCAGGGTTGCCTTGTGGAAGGGAGAGAAAACACCTCTGCAGGCTTCCTGATGGAAGGAACCTGGGGATTTTTAAGCTGTTTGCTGTGGGGTGTGTGCTGTAAAGCCCCTCTATCTTCGGTAAGGCTGCATTGTTCATTGGAGCATCTATGTGAGTGACTTCAGAGGGAAGATGGGACAAACACAGAAACAGCACACAGGAGCAGCGGAGCATAGGAGCAGGGAGAGCTGGCAGCTCAATCACACTTAAAATAGCTAGATACTAACTTGTGAGCTAAATCAAACATCAAACAGGTGCGTGTAGATACATTGCAGGCACTGACAGGTGAAGAACTGTTACTGGAACTGCATGCTCATTAGGAGGCCTGAGAGGACCACACTTTAGGCTGGGAAGCTCCAGCCAAAGAGTGGGGGCAATTTGGATCGGCAAAAATACAGGTTCAAAAAGAAAATCCACATCAACTCCAGCTGACCCCAAAGTTCCACTCTCTGCACAGTTCTGTGGCCACGACACGCAGGTTAGCAAGTACAGAAAGCTTGGCCCAGGGTGGAAGAGTGCCTCTGAGCCCCAGCCTCACACAGAGGCCACCACAGGATGCACTGACTCAAGGCAGAATCTCCTGGGAAGAACATGCAAATGACACATTTGCCTCTGGAAGTATCAGCACAATCACACTGGGCTCCATGCCTTACCATGGAGGGCCCTAGTGGGTTCCAATGGGTTCCAGGGCAGCATGACCCCTTCAATGCCCAGGTCCATGAGCACCCAACAGGCCACAGGTGGTAAGTTAGTGGCTGTGGCCTCAGGCCTGCCAGGGTTGAGGAGACCATACCTTGTCCTTGAGACACCTAGCCCTACACAAACCCCTCATGCCCAGGGCTTGTCCTTCCTTGCAGAAGCCATTGTGCTTTGAGCAATTTGTGGAACTAATACCTCACTGTCTGGACAGGTGAGTCCAGAGGTTAGGCGCCTGTGTCCAGTACAGCCCTCCTTGTGCCTGCTTCCCGGTGCCTAGCATCCAGACTCACAGGGTGGGCAGGGAAGGCAGCTGGCCCGGTGCCCTCACAGGGAGAGATGCCCTCATTCTCAACAGCCCAGCAAAGGCCAAAGCAGCCCTGCCCCCTGCCCAGGGACAGAGCCAGGAGAGCCCAGAGTCCTGACTCCTGCAGCCTGGGCCCAGGGGATAGAAACTCAGCTCCAGGCACCCACCTCACTGACCCGGGACAAATGCCCCAAGTCAGCATCTGCTGGAGCCCTTTAGGGGCCAGGAATTTCCAAATACCTGAACTTGAGAGGTTCTTTCCATAAGTCATGTGACCTGGGGGGTTGCCCGGAGAGGGATGGGGTTAGGAGGGGCAAGGCCACAGAGCCTGAGTCCAGGCACTTACCTTGACCTTCGCAAAGCTTCTTCGTCAGGGTCTTGCACTGTGGGTAGAAAGTTGCTGGTCAGGAGGAATCACAGGAAATATAAGGAAGAAAAGCCACTAGGAGCTCTGTGGGCACTGAGTCCCCACCAATGACTGAACAGTTAGTGCTTCCTAATCTAGGAAGGGAAAGGATGCGTGCTGAGCAGAGGGCAGGGGGAGAAAGGGGACAAGAGACGAAATGGTGCAGTTGGGTGGGAGTGATCAGAGGTGTGGCCTGTGAGGTCCTCTTATCCCAGCTCTGGACGGTAATTTCACCTGGAAGCACCATGTTTAGCCTGCTGCCTGCTGTTGATTGTGGGAGCTGAGCAGAAGGCTGATGTCATTTGCTTGCCCCACCGGCCCAGAAGGGGCTCAGCAGGCCACTGTTTACCTATGAAGGCAAACTCATCTTCCAGGGCAGGGGGCTTGGCTCTCCAGCTCCTGTAGGACTGTGGGGTAGGGCCCAGTACCCTCATGGCCCCTCAGCAGCTCCCCTTCCTGCCCCGCCCCCCACAGCCCTCCCTTACTGAATTCTGTCCCTGTCATCTGGGCCAGGATGCGGAAGGAGCGAGACTGCAGATTGGAGGAACGGCGGGCCCACTCGTCAGCCTCATCTTCCGGCTTGCTCTGGTTCTTAATCACAGCCTGATACACGGGAGAGGCGCTGTCTACAGCAAGATCTTTAACAGGAAGGCTCCTACAATGCAAACAGAGGCTGTGGGCGAGGGCTAGGCTGGAACCCAACTCCAGCCCCCTTACATCCCCCACATTGCATCCTCTGGCATCCCTTTGCCCGTGGTGGCCCCTACTTGTCTGAACCCACCATGCCCTTTACCCACTGCCATCTGAGAGCCTGGGGCGAGGGCTTGGCTGTGTCCTCAGTGCTCAGGGTGGTCACAGTGAGATGGTGATTCCTTTCATGAAGGATCAGGAGACTCAGATCCCTCCTGCCAACACCCCTCCTCATGCTAGCTCTATACATGAAGACACCCCCATCCCAGGGGCTGGATCTTCTTTAAGGAGGGAGGAGGCAGATGTCTTCTTGAAGTTAATCTCCACATCCCTGAGCAGGCCCTGAGCTTGGGGTTTTGTGAGAACAGGCCATTCAGGGACCCGGAGGCTTCCTCAGGGCCGTTTCCTTGTCCTCACACCTTTGGATCCCAACAGGAAGCAGCCAATGCTGTGACTGCCCTAGAAAAGGACTGGGGGCTCTCGCTCATCTACAAACAGGCACGGTGGGGAGGTGGTGTGAGAAACTGGCAACAAGGCCATGTGGCCGGGGATCACCTGTAGACAGGGGGTTCTGGCCTGGGGGAGCTGGGAGTGGAGCTGCAGGAGAGTCACTAGTCCTCTCCCGCAACCTACTGAGGGGTTCCTGGTGACCTTCCCTTAGACTTCCAGGGTCTGGCATATAGGAGGTGCTCAAAACGTAAGTGAATGAATGAATCCTAGATCAGAGCCAGAGGACTTCCAGAGCCCTCTGGGTCCAGTGCCTCCCAGCCCAGAACAGTCTGCAGAGAGGATACATCAAGAGCTTTATGGGTGCCCACTCACTCTGGCCAGTGAGGGCTGGAGGATGCAGGCCACCCAGCCCACGCTGTCAAGTCAGGATGGACTCAGGTGGAGCTTACAGTGATAACAGCCTGCCTTCCCAGCCTATGGGCCAGTGGCCCAGCCTTCTCCTCTTACAGATGCTGAAACTGAGGTCCAGAGAGGCCAGCCAACTAGCTCCAGGTTATGGCATACCCCATTGAGTAAAAACCCAGGTTTCCCAGGTCCCAGCCCAGTGTCCTTTCCATCAGACCCTCTGCAGTGACAGGGCTCAGAAAGGCCACTTCTGCCCACTAGAGCCTCGTACACCCCAGATGCTCTATGCCTGGAGACTTGGCCTAGCCCAGACACTTGTCCTGTCTAGCATCCCCTGCCTGCCTCTGTGGCTGCTTCTACCTGCCCCGCACTGAGGGCTGGCCGGCTGGGAGAGGGACCTCCCCAGTGCACATATCTTCTACACTCTCTGCAAGGAGCTGGATGGAAGCATTGGCCTGGTCTCCCAGGATTAGTCTCTCAGGATTGGTGCCCTGTGTCTGGCTCAGGGTGGGCTATGACAGCAGAGGTAAAGAAAGGTGACAAAGAGTGGCCAAGGCTCAGTGGAGCTGCCCCTCCTTCCCTGAAACCTGTGCCCTAGTCTGAGAGCTACAGGTACTGGAAGCTTGTGGTTGGGATCCAATGGAGAACACCAGCAGATCCTTCTGGGGTCCAGGCAGGGAGGAGCCTGGGGCTGCCCAGGAGCAGAGGAATGGGTGGGATCTAGCTGGGGAGGCCATTTCCAGCTCAGGGAGGCATCCCAAGGGTTCCCAGGGCAGAGGCTGCACCTACAGTTTTTGGGTGGGATGGGAAATAGGAAGAAACAACCAGGACTCCCTGGTCTGATGGGAGGAAATGTGGACTGTGCTGTGGGCAAGGAAAGGTGTAGACGCAAGCGCAGGCCCTGCCCGTGAGCCTACATCGGGCTTTATGGAAGCTTTGTGGTCCAGAAAGCAGATGGAAGGTGTTTGCTGCCATTTTTCTGGAACGTGCCCTTGAAGTGCTCCCCTGTCTTTCCAAAGCTCCCCAGGCTCCAGAAAGCTGCCAGGAGTGAGTCCCTCAGGCTTCACATTGTTGGCTCATTTCCCACTACACTGTGCAAAGATGGGAACTGGTGCTGCCACAACAGAGTCTGGGAGTCTAATGAAAGAACTGCTGCACCTCTTTAGGCTCCGGGGCTCAGGAAGGATATATACAGAGAGAGGGTAAAACAGGTCCCACAGTCCTGGGACCCTGGGTCTGAGGCCATTCTCTGAAGCCACTCCCAGCATGGTTTTTTTGCCACCAAAAACATGCCACAGTCACCACAACATCAAGGTCCCCTCGGGACTCCACTGTACTGCCCCCAAATCTGACTCATCCTTCTCTGCCCGTGGGTGGTCTTGCCAAGCATTGGGTCATTCGGATCCATCTTTGATGAGGATTCTGGATAGTGGCCTCTAACAAGCCCCCTTATCACCATCTCTCCTAAATAATGGCCCAGTGTAGACGCTGACACTCAGGTATACACTGTCACAGTGCAGACAGGAAAGGCTGGGGGAAATGCCCGCAAAGCATGGCAAGGAGAAGACGGAGACACCCCCAGCCTTGTGGGGGAGGCAGCATGAATGTTGTTACTCTCATCTGTGTCCATAGTGACATTATTTGGGGGAAACTCCAAAAAGGCAAGCCTGCGTAGGCTGCAGGGCATGTCACTTGGCTGTGAGGTGGGTATGAGGAAGAACACAGACAGAGGCACTGTCCTCAGATACATCCCACCAAACCCACACACCATCCCGCAACCGGACAGACAACGGGACAGACAGTGTGGGGGGTCTACTTACGCCAGTGGCGATGCCCTGCCAAGCAGAGGAAAGCCCAGCAGGGGGTGCATGTCCATCAAGGGGTGGCAGAGGGGCGGCACATACACAAGGGATCAGGGTTAGGATCAGAAATGAGTTATGGGAGTGGGGTGGGTAAAGGAGGAAGAGAGAGAAAAAGAAAACTGTCAGTGAGGAAAGAATCATGGACATTAACAGCAGAAACGGAGCACCTGATGGCAGACAGGGGCAGCTCTTATTCACAGGCACCACGGCAGCACCAGCCCAGCAGGGCCGAGTTAGAAGGAAGGGGAAAGCCTGTTGTTTCCCAGGCACACAAGGGAAGGGAAAGGGAGGGGAGGGAGATGGGCAAGATCCTTTGAGAAGACTGGATTAGATCAATGGTACATCATGTTAAAAAAAATCAAGGGTGCCCTAGTGGTAAAACCAAGTGACAGCAATCTTTGCCCAAGGTGCAGAGCACAGAAAGTGAGTGAAGAGCAGTTCTTCCATTGTCTTCCACTGAACTTCCCCTTGGTGACCGTTACCACTTTTAGGGGCACACCAAGGACACACTTGCCACATTCTGTGGCAAACAAATGTTAACAGGAAATCCCTGGTAGCTCTTTGGCTTAGTCAGGCAGCCTGTTTTTCTGGGTACACATGAGATAACAGTTGTGTTTTTAAACTTGTGTGGTCACATTTTCTGCTTTGAACTATGGAATTAAAGAAATCAACTCTGTCTAGAGTTCTGCAAAGAGCTGCAGCCCGGAGCCTGGCCAGTTTGAGACCCATAGCTCCAGGGCAAGCAACGTCCGTTCCCTGGTGGCCCAAAGGAAGTACTACCTGCCTGAGAGGGCCAGGCTCTCCAGGACCAGGAGAGCCAGGAAGTCCACACAACCTTCCATCCTTTGGCCTCTGGAACCTCCCCCTTATAACCTGCATGCACATTCTGACCACATGGGCTGGGTTCTAGAAAAGCCAAACACTGCAAGAGCTTTCTGGGAGTTTTTAACCCCTCTGATCCTCTTACAACATCTGTTTTTCTTAGCTTCAGACACCATCATTTTAAGATTGAGTTGCCTTGAGTTGCTGGAGATAATGACTCAGGGATAGGATATTGCCCAAAGAGATAATCAGTCAGTTCTGAAAGTGAACACTAATGGTATTCCCAAGTAGGAAACAGTAAGAGACCATGTGTGTATGACAGAGAAAGAGAGAGAGAGCGAGATTAAGGAAGAGACAATAGAAAGACAGAGATGGAGAATACAGAGTGAGAGAGACAGAGGCACACACAGAACTACAAAGAGAGAGGCAGAGAAAGGGAAAAACTAAGACAAAAAGACAAAAAGAAGAGGTCCCCATTAATGTTTGCACTATTAGCAATGTCATCCACAAATGATTTTCAGCCAACTCTTAGCCTATTTAGCCCTCAAGTTTCTCAATCATCGATAACAGGCAAATTCCAAGGATGTCCTCCGTCCTACTGCCCTGAGGCCAGGCTTCCTCAGGGCAAACAGGAAGAGGCAGGTGCCCAGTGCTGGGTGCTCCCCAGGCTCTGAAGTGCAGCGACTGCCAACAGCACCCCGAATGGTTGGGCGGGAGCTCCTTCCCAAACAACAAACCCAGTCACCTATTTGAATTGCTCTCATCTTTGGAAGAACACAGCAACTTCCCCCTAAAGAAAGGCTTAATTATGAGAAGACTGGGATATCCAGAATGCCACCTTGGTCAACAGGATTCCAGAAGTCTCTTTTTAGACCAGCCCCTCACGGAGCCCGGGAGAAAACGCAGACTGTGACAAGCACTTAAAGGAATCACCATATTCTGCATGTCTCCACCCTTCTACAGCTGACTATGAGATTGATTCTGAAGCGAGAACACCATGTTCTGGAAGGCCTGGGCAGAGGCTGGCTCCCCTCCAAGGACTGTGCCCCAGGAGGCCCAAGGCAAAAGAGGAATGCTGGTTCCGATGCCTAAAGTCTCTGATGGCTCCAAGAGACTTGATGCCCTCACCTCCGCAGGGGATGAGGCCAGGCCCGTGGTGGAGGAGGGGAGGCGCTTACCCACTGAAGTCACTGCCCTGAGCCTGCGCCTGCCCAGCGATGGCATCCATGATGGCGTCCTGGGAGTACATGCTGATGGGCGTGTTGTATTGCGCGTGGATGATGGTGGCCTTGCCGCCCAGTCCCTTCACCTCGATGGGCTTGTGGGTCGACAGGGCTGAGTCTTTCAGGGCGTTCGGGTTGAAGCGTTCCTGGTAGTCGGCGCTGGGGGAAGTGAGCAGGGGCGCAGGGGAGGGAGGTGGAGGGAGAAAAGGGCAACAGGTGGTGTTACATGGGAGGTCCAGGGGAGGGCTGGTGGTGGAGGGTGTCGAGAGAGAGCTCCCAAAGTCTGATCCCAGGTAGTCTGCCCAAGTCCCCGCAACTGTGGTTGGGCTGTGTCTGGTCATGAAAACCCTCGGCACCCTCTCCAAAGCCCTTTATAGAAGGTTTTTCTTGCCCATCTGGGCTTTCCCAGATCCCCGGACGCCCCGGCTCAGCCTGAGCTACCGCCCAGGGTCAGCAGGGGGCGCCAGGCATTGAAAATTCTCTCACCACATCAGCAGGGAAACAGAGATAAAAAGGGTTGGGGAGTGGGGTTGGGGGTAGAGGACAGGAGCTGGGCTACACGTGACAGGCAGCGGCAGCCCAAGCGGAGTCCAGGATGCCCAAAAGGCGAAAAGCAGCCCCACTGGGCACCCACAGAGATTCTGAACTTGGTTTCTCTACCAAGGGGCTCATCCTGCTGGCCACCCCTGGTGGCTGGGCGTTCTGTTCCTCCAGCCGCTTCCGCGCATGTGCTTCTTCCTTGGAGCAGGGCTCCGGCTGTTTCAGCACCTTCGTGTCAAACTTGTTTTGTGGTCCACCAATCTCTACCCATTGGGGATTCCACTCCAACAGGCAGGTGTGCTCCCGGACAAAGACAAGGTCTGGCGCTGCCCCTCTGAGGGGTCCCACCAGAACAGAGATGAGATGTCTTCAGGTTCACACAGAACCCTGCTGTCAGAGTGACACTCCACCCACTACCCATCAGAGCCAGCCTGCTGATCTTAAGCAGCCACAGCAGGAAATTGGAAATCAAAAGGCGGTGGGTATCAGATGGAGCCCTGGCACCCCTCCCCAATGCCTCCACTCCATACTCGCAGCTTCACACCCATGCAGGCTCATTCAGGGACACAAATGTGCCCCCTCTCACGCATGCACGCACACGTACACATGCTGACACAGGCACACGCTGTCCAGACTGACTGACACACAACTGCATGCTGGGCTATGCACACAAGCGCACACACATGCTTTCCTTCATACTAACTTGGCTGGAGAGTTGGCTACCACCTGGGGAGGAGAGAAAGAGCAAAGAAGACAGGGCTATCAGAGTGAGACTCCTGCCAGGGGATTTGAGCACTGGAATCATCCTCAGACTGGCCATTGAGGAGGCAGAGCCAGCCTGGACTGGCCCTGGGTGAAGAGAATGCAGAGTGAGGAGGGGAAGAACTCAGAGCTGGGTCACAGCCTCTCGGTTTGGATCAGAGATGCCTACAGCAGCATTTTGCCCTCAGTAGGTCCTCAGTACCCAAAGCTTTTCCAGGAAGAAGGGTTTGTTTGTCCATCTTTATGGGCACTCATGTGCACAAATCCCCAAAATACAGCAATCTGGCTGTAAACCCTAGGAGAGGAAGCTAGTGACAGGATCAGCTGCAGCTACCCAGGTTCCAGATACCTTCCGGTCAGACAGTAGGTCTGGACTTACCCTTGCTTAATGGGGGCAGCTCTGGGAGTTCTGCTCCCGAGGAGGAGTTGCAGTGGTTTTGGAGTGTATGTGTGATGAGGTTACCCACAGCCCCCAGCACCTGCTGTTCCTCTTAGAGGAGGGGCAGGCAGCTGTGGCCACTCCTCCTGGGGCACAGGGGTAGGGGTCTGTGCAGCCCCCAGTGACTGATCCTAAAGGTCCTGTGGACAGGCAATGAAGAAGTGTTGGTCCAAAGCTCATTGCTGGAAAGCCCACAGACAGAGCGGCCCATTTGGACACTACTAGAAGGATCCCCCCTCACTCTTATCTGAGAGTGAGCCTTCTGCAACATCACCTCCTAATGCAGGCATCTCTTTAAATTCAAATTCCTTGCAGCAGCAGATCCTGGCAGCAGTGATGGCCCTGTCAGAAACCTGAGGTGGGGGGAGTGCTGGAGGCAGCATCCTTGCCCCCAGACTCTGCCACCTTCTCAGACCTGACTACTGTGGGCTCTGACTAGGAGCCTGAGCCCCAGCAGGCCAGGACCCTGGGGAGCCAGACTAAAGCCAGGGCACCCCCCCTCGCCCCCCCGAGGCTCAGGCAGCCTCACAGTAGCCCTTCTCAGCCCCAGGCCCCTGTCTCAGAGCTGATAAAATTTCCCCTGTCCTCCCAGGCTCAAAATAGCTGCATATGGAGCTATATTAGGAAAGGGCCAGCACAGATCTTCCATTCCTTTTCCATTTTTGGCCTGTGCTGACAGCTGCAGGGTCAGCTCTTGCCCTGGCCAGCCGTGCCCCCTGCAGAGGGTAGTGCTAGCCTCTGGGGTTGCCTCTGCCCTGTCCTGCTTGGGCAGCCAGCTCCTTCTTTGGCATTGATTCCTGCCCGCTGCTTAGCTTCCGCCTGAGGCTCTGGATCCTGAATGCCTGCAGCAGGCATGGCTCAGAGAGGAGGCAGCACCCAGGTCTTGGGGAGGATGACCCAAAGATGTAAGACCTGCCCAGTGGCCTGAGAGACGCTGCCCTTTAGTGCCAGCACCAGAGAGGACAAGGAGGGGACTGCAGGGACACTCAAGCCCACTGTCCTTGCACCCCATTTGTTCCTCTCTGCACCTCCCAAGAGGATAGAAGCTGCTAAGGAATCATGCTTCAAACTGCTCAAAGAGAGAGTAGGGGAAGGAACTTCTTTTTGGAGCCAGACAGGATAGAGTTCAAATCCTGACCTTGCGACTCTGGGCAAGTTACCCACCTGTCTCAGCCTCCATCTCCTCATTCATTAAATTGGGATGCCGGTGCCCACTGCACAGACAGGTTGTGCAGACTAAATAGAACACTGAGAGTAGAGCCCTTGGCATGGGTTAAGTGTGCAGTGGATGCACTTCAGGCAGTTAGACACTCAGCTCAGCAGAGGCTGTCCAGGCTGGCCCACGTCAGAGGTTCTTCCCTTCCTGGGCATTGCCCGGACAGCAGCACTAGCCTTCATTTGGAGGAAGCACTCCTTCCCCTAGCCCATATTCCCTTGGAAGAAAATGTTGGAACCTAATGCTCTGAGTGTCAAGTAATAATGTAACACTTGTCAGGTTCTGAGAAGCCCCTGTGCCAATGGGAGGGCACCTTGGTAGTCACAGGAAGCAGGGATGGGGCTAGCCCCTGACTTCCCCAAGCAGGTAGGTGAGTCCCTGTCTCCATGCAGGGAGGAGTTACGCTGACCTGGGTGCCAGTTCTATCTGCCACTTATTAGCTGTGTGACTTTGGGCAAATTGCTCACTTTCTGGGCTTCTGTTTCCCAGCTGTAAAATGGGGGGGAATGATGCCCACCTCTGAAGTTGCTGAGAGAGTTATGTTAGTTAAAGCACATGGGCTGTTAGCAGGTGTTTAGCCCAGACTGAGGGCTCAGTAAGGGGATACACTACCCTCACTGCAAGTGGGCCTCATGGAGGTACCAGTCCACCAGAGGCTGACCTCCCTGCCAGGGGCCAGTTCCAGGGAGACCAGAAAGAGCTACGAGCCCTCCCAAGGCAGAGAAGGAGGCCATTTCTCCTCTGCCATTCCCTGAGTTTTCTGGCAGAAGCTCCTTGCTAGAAAAAGCTGGGGATATATGGCTTTGCCACCTTGGTCCAGGGAAGCCAGGGTCCAGGTGCTCAGACCATAGAGTGCCTGAGGCTCGCTTCACTCAGGATCTGAGAAAGAGCTGAGGGCCCGGGGGCCGGGGAGGGGGGGCGGTAAGGGGCACAGAGGTGGAGATCCTCAGGGGAGCGGTGAGCTGGTGGAGCACAGGTACCTTCTGTGGCAAGGGCAAAGGAAGGGCATGGGCTTGGGTCAGACTGACCTGGGCTGTGTGACTCCAGGCAATGATGACAGGTAGCACGTACTGAGTGTGCTAGAACAGGGCTCAGTGCTACGCACATGCTGTCCCCTTCAGTCCTCCCAGTAATCCCAAGATATGAACAGTCTCGTGTCCATGTACTCCTAACCACTGGCCAATAGTGCCTTGACTCAGCCTGCTCTGCTTCCAGCACACAACCATTAGAAATAATTATACCAATTGCATGGGATCATGGGAGAAGTTAAAAGAGATAACAAGCATGAAGGGCTTAGAAGCTAATACATGCTCTGCCTGGGGGCTCCTTCCTCTCAGCCCGCCATGAAGCCTACTGGCTCTAGGTTCTTTTAACCTTATAATCCTACCAGCTAGATCTCAGGGGCAGGGGGTGGGCTACTGTTCTGCTCAGCCCCTTTCTCCTTGGGGTCTTGCTTCCTTGCTGCCCTACCCTAGCCAGGGTCAGTCCTGCAAGCTCATTCCCTTCATACTGTGGCCAAGTCTCTTTGCACCCAGCTTAGATGCTCCCTCTCCAGGCAGCCTTCCCAGACCACTCCCAGCCTTAGAGAACTTGCCTTCCCACCTCTCATATTCTTCCTTGCTCCTGCCTCAGGGGTCCCAGTGGGGTGGGAACCAGCCAATCCCCTTGCCCCAGAGCTTCTGGAGGCAGCAGGTTTTGTCCTATCCAGGGGAGAGGAGTGGCTTGGTGTGATAGTTTTGGGATTCAGAGTCTCTTGCATTCAAGACAGCTGGATCTCGACTTAACCTTCACTGAGCCTCAGTTTCACTCTCTGCAAAACCTAACACATCACCTGAGGGTGGCCTCATAAAGCAATGATGCAGCTGGCTCATGGCAAATGTCAGTAGCATCACTGCTTTCACGGCTCTCATGGGGTTGGGGTTGGCAGGTTGAGGCCAGCTCCTCACTCTGACCACCTGCCCAGGACTTTACTGAGCACCGAGAACCCAGGTGGCCCTAGACCACCAGTGGAGAACTGTGCGCCCGTTACCTACCCTCCTGGGAGTCCAGCACCTGAGGCCTTCCCTCGGAGGCTCATCTGATACACCTGAGCCATCTCCCTCAGGGTCTCTGCCGAGTACAGGCCAATGGGGTTGTTATACTGCCTTGGCTGGCTCGAGCCCAGTGGCACTTTCGGGCTGAGTGAGTCCAGAGTCCCCTCTGGGCTGGTCTTGGCCCCTGGGCTGCCCCGTGGAGGGCCAGGGTCAGAGGTCTCCATGTGTGAGGAGGAGACGGAAGTCTGGGAGAAGGAGGAGCTAAAGGTCTGCCTGAGCTCCGGGGTGCCCGGGCTGGCCCTTGCCTCGGAGTTGGGGCTGGGTGCCACCAGGCTGCCGTTCGTGTCCAGAGCAGGGTCCTGGCACAGGGTAGCCGCCATGCAGGGGAGAGAGAAGAGAGCAGTTAGAGGCCACACGCATCCCAGTGCTTCTGCATGGACCTGAAACAGAGGTGTTAGTGCCAGCGCCCCACAGCCTGCAGCCTGCTGCACTGAGCTCAGGAGAGACCAGACAGGGTACCTGGAAGAGAAGGGTTCTATCAGGAAGAGCAGGGGAGGCACATGACTGCTGGCCCCAATGCTGGCATCCACCTGGACAAACTGCAAAGCCCCACACAGAAAGCCCAAGCCAAGCCAGCCTGCCTGCAGGGCTGGAGGAAAGGGCTAGAACAAGGGGGTTGTGGTCCTCAGGGTGTGGGGGGGCCACCTCCGTTCTATGTCTGTTCCCCCTTTCCCTGAGTGGGGGTGCTTGGTGAGCACTGCTCAGCCTCCTGTTCTGCTGACCACATACTGAGATGCCCCCACAAGGCCAGCAAGAGGGGGCCCCCCAGCTGGTAGTAGACAGGCAGTGTGGAGGTACAGGAGGGGAAACTGATGGTACACAGGCAGTATGGAGGTACAGGAGGGGAAACTGATGGTAGACAGGGCAGTGTGGAGGTATAAGAGGGGAAACTGAGGAAGTAGGGGGCTGACATTTGGTTCCCTTGGTTCACCTCTGCAGCTTCTCCCAAGTTGCCTTCTGCCTATTTCTCCAATCTGTCACCCACTCCAACTCCCGTCAGCCTCTTGCTCTCCCCTCTCCCCACTTTGCCCCTTGTCCACTCTGCTTCACTGAAGAGACAGGGGTCAGTATGAGGTCATTCAGGGGAAGGTGGAGAGTGGGCCCCTATAGGAAAGGTGGGGCGGGCCTCCCATGCCTTGGGCCCACAGGGTTGAGTTGCTTATAGGGAGTTGGCAAGGGACCTGGGGCATGGGGGTGAGGTCTGCAGCCGGGGCCCCACCTTCTCTCCTGTGCCTGCCTCTTGGCCACCACCAGCATTTCTGATTGGGCTATAGGGGCGTGCAATTGGGAGGAGGAATGGAAATCAGAGGGAGAGAGCCCAGGTCAGAGAAACCCCAAGGGCCAACAGGCCCCTCCAGACCTGGGAACTCCTCAAGGGTGACCAGCTCAAGCTGGGGCCTCCAGCTTTCATGCCACAGGCCCCCCACCTCCCCAGTGCCTTAGGAGGATGAGGGTCAGAGCTTTCTGTACACTTGTCCCACCTGGCTGGGAGGATACTCCCTCTCCTGAGAACACTGCTGCCTAAGCTGGTACTGCATCTGCCCACCCACAAGGCCCAGGGTGGTGGCACCCAGCCAAGTATCCCATACTCAGTATTTCATGGAGGCTCAAACACCTCTCCCAGAGGCCTGCCCCATCTCCCAGGGTCAGCCATGGCAGGGCAGCGGTGGCGTAGGGCTGGTCCCTCACCCCACCCCAGGTAGGCCAGCCAAGGATCAGGCAGGCAGACCAGGAGCTGCACCCCAGGAACTGTAGCTAGGAGTGGAGCCTTCCACTGACAGTTAGCACTTACCTTCTGGTGGGGGATCACTGGCAGAGGGGACTGGATTGGGGGCGCTGAAGTAGAAATGGGAATGGGACGCTTCGACCTGGAGAAACCAGAAATGAGACCAGGTAAAGACCATCATCTCTGAGGCTAGGAGCTCCTGCCGGGGCAGGGCTGACCAGGGGAAAGCAATAGAGTACTGGGGAGCCAGGTCAGAGGGCCTGAGGCCCACTGTGGGCTGGGTGTCCCCAGGAAGGCACTGGGCCTGACCAGGATGGAGAATTCATAGCCCTTGGGCACTTTGTAGCCACAGGCCTCTGCTAGGTCCTTGGGAGGCTTCCTGGGTAAAGAGGAAGCAGGGAAGACACTGGCTTCCAGGCCACACAGCCCACACACTGGCAACACCGAACCTACTCTCTCAGCCTCATCTGTAAAGTGAGGCACAGACATTGCAGATGTTCGACAACCCTTGGGCCTGGTCTTCTCCTTGATCCAGGGGCTGTCCTTATTGCCCTATGAGGCCTTATAGCACAGGACTGGGCCCACACAACTGCTACTGGACAGCCCCTTTCTCAGGCCCCTGATGCCCACACCTCAGCCTCCCCTCAGCTGCCACCTACTTCTGCAGTGTAAGGCTCAGGTTGTAGCTGGCAGACTTGATCTTGTTCTGGGCCTCCAGGTGGGTCATGGTATCTGTGTTGACACCGTCAATGGCTACCACGAGGTCACCCTGGCTGAGCTGGGACTGGGCCGCCTTGCTGCCCGGCGTGATCTGAGAAGATGGCAGATGAGGAAATGAACATTAGGTTGGAGAGCCTGAGGCTGGGCCAGTCCTCAGGGAAGAGTCACCTGTGATCAACCAGGAGAGACTTTTCATTCACTGTGGCCAGTACCTGCTGCTCACCACGCCTGATTCTTCTTGCTGGCACATAGCCGCCATATTTCCTAGTGCTTTGTATCTGAGTGTGGCTGAAAGACTAGCTCTGGCTAGAGGAATATGGATGGAGGCAGTGCACACCACTTCCAGGTCTGCCCTGAGGAGCCATACTTGCCATCCTGCACTCTCTCTGCTTGTCGGCTGACTGGGTGCAGAGGACCCAGAAAAGGACCCCCAAGCCACTAACGGAAGGGACCCGGATCCTGGAGTCACTGCTTGGAGGAGAATGACTAAGGAGCACTGCATCTGATGTTGCATGAGTGAGAAATAAACTTTCATTGTGCTTTGGGGGCTAGTTTGTTTACTATAACACCTGTACCCCAAAAACTCATGGAGCACTTTTCAGGCTCTAGAAGGGAGGGTATACACAGGAGCTTAGATTCAGTGCCTCCACAGATGTACTGCCAGATCAGCAGGCAGGACAAATGCCCCCTCACAAAACATCCTAATGTGAGTGCCTAGTGCTGCCATGGCAGGGGTGCAGCAGGCTGGGGAGCCATCAACCCTGCCTGGGGGAGCAAAGCTGGGATGAGGGTAGGGCTCAGTGCTCTGAGGTCAGCTTCAACCTTCCAGAAAGGGAGGTGCAGGTATGGGGGTCAGTTCCCAAATCCTGCACTCTAATGACATCACAGAATGCTAGAGTCTGGGGGCTACACCCCCAGTGTGATTACACAGAATGCCAGTCATGCTCCACCCTGGAACACCCCATGTAATTTCAGGAAGGTCACACCCCCAGGGACATTACTTGAGATGCCACAATGGCTCAGATTCCACTCCCAATGACATCATGCACAATGGCCAGACTCTGTAATCCTGGCTCCTAGTAATGGCAGCCTGAATACTATGGAGGCCCCGCATGCATTGATATCACATGAAATGCAAAATTCTGGAAGGCCTTATGATATCACCTAAAATAGCTTGACGGCCTGCCCTTAGTGATATTCCATGGAATGGAATGAAATCCCTCCCCTAAAGGTGTTTTCATGTCAGGGAGACTCTGCTCTACCCACCACGACATCACCATGCAAGCTCCACCCCCTGCTGACATCACATAGAATGACTTTGTTACCTGAACCCCATGACATCATATGGAGGGTCCCTGTGACATCATGTGGACTGCCATGCAGGCCCCATCCCCAGTGACACCATAGGAAAGAATAGCCTCTGGAAGCCGCCCATGCCACGCTGTGACTGGACAGAGCCCCTGGGCTTTCCCTCCCTAACTGCCCACCAGCCAGTCCTTCTGGCTTCTCTAAGGGCAACTCAGTCACCTTCCTGGCTATACCCCAGGGACAAGGCCAGCTCTAATGCTAGTGGAAGTCATTTTCTGGCCAAAGCCTGGGGACCATCCTAGAAGGAGCCCAGACAGAACTTGAGGACAGTCCCATGCCTTGGGTGTCAAGTTTGAGAGGGCCTCTGGCCAGGCCCTGGGCTCCCAGACATAGATAGAAGCCTCCTGCCAGGCTCCTCAAGGGGAACTTGCATCTAAACAAGAGCCTCCAGAGCTTCCCCAGGTGAGCTATACAGGTTGGGTCCAATAACCACGTGTGACAACACAGCAATAACAGCAAGACTGGAATAGCCCTCGCCTTCACCAGACATTTCAGCCCCAGAGGCTGTTACCTGCTTAAACACTGGTCACCTTTGCCTAAAACAGCCTCCCCACACCCTGAATCTGCTTAGACAGTCAAGGACAGGGGAGAAACAAACCCCTAGATTGCCAGGTAGCCACGTTGTCTATTTGCAGAGTCCAGCCTGCTCTCCCAGCTCCCATAGGGGCATCTTAGAACCACTCAGGCCTTCTCAAAATGTGCATAGCCCTTCTCCCCAAATCCAAGACCACAGGAAGCCACTATTGGTGACAAGAGTGTGTTCTTTCCTTCAATTTAAGGGGTTGAACCATGGGTGAAAAGCAACAGTGAGGAAATATAAAAAAATTTGTAGGCTGAGTAGGGGCTCCTGAGGGCAAGTGAGCTGACCAGCCAGGCCTGTCCTTTCTCTGCACCTGGCTTCACATTCAGGCTGTGCTTTCCCCAGTATTTTATTACAGACATCTTTAAACATAGAAAAAGCAGAGAGAGTTCTACAGTAAACACTCAAATACCCACCACCGAGGTTCAACCAGAACATTTCGTTCAACGTGCTGTATCTATCACATGTCTAGCGCTCTCTCCATCCACCAATCCATCTTAGTTTTGAAACATTTCAGAGAAAGTAGCAGATGCTCACATGTTTCCATTAAGGATCGAGTGTGCAATGCCTCTGCCTTACTAGTGGACTGCCTGCGAGTTTCCCCACACCAGGGCTCCCCAAATGCTACTAAACATCTACAGAATAGGGGCCATCACCCTGCAGCAGAGAGCTCCCAGCAGGAGGGGTGGGTGTGGTGGCAGCACAGACTGCCTACAGAGGTGGTAACTGCTAGGCAGGACCAGAGTTGTGTCCAGAAGATCAGGGATGACAGTGTGAGCAAGGACACCAGAATGACATCCAAGAGAGGCTAGGGCCAGATCAGCTCAGGCGAGCCTGGCTGGGTGGGGTGGGGGTGGGCGCTGGTGAATTTGGAATGCTCTCCTTTGGGAGCTGCCTCAGGGACATCTTTCTCCCTCAGGTACAGGCTAGCTCACACCAATCCTTCCCGCTGGGTCTCCCACCTTCCCTTTGCCTGGCCCTGCCTCATATGGACTGGGGTGATACTTGTTCCCAGGGAAGAGCTCAGCTTCCCCCAGTGGAAGCCTCAGAGCTGGCTCCCTCCTGCCCCTGGCACTTTTCTCCCTGCACTTGCGTATGCTCATCAGGGCTCAGCTGGCCTGGCCTTCGGCTGCCCTGAGCAGAACCCAAGAACCCTTGGGCTGGGGGTGGAGAGCGCTGTCATCCCCTTGTAGGGAGGTACTCTTCTAGTTCTGCCCAGGTCTCCTTACAGAAGGAGGTAGGATGGAGGCTGGGATCCCCAGCTCGGCCCAAGGGCCATCAGCTCTCCTTCCCCCACCTCAGGAGCCGCCTGCCCGCAGAGGGGTGGGGCCACCTTCACACTTTCACCCAGAGACCAGGGCAGTGAAGGGTATAGTCCAGGCCTCATGTATCCGTGGATCTCTTATCTGACTCAACTGCTTTTCTCATCCCAGAAAGGACCCAAAGCAACTAAATCCTTGGAGGGTTGTTTTTTTTTGTCTTTAGTCTTTCCCCTTTTAAGGATTTAAAAAACTCTATAAAGTTGTTTCATTCCCAAGCCACTTTTCAGTCTTCTCGGGTCATCAGCTACCTCTCAGCTGGGAAACCAGCCATGGGCAGAGCTCCATGCCTGAGACTCGCTAGAATGGGCTCAAGATGTTTGAGGGCCAAGGTTGCCACTTGGCCCACAGGAGTCCTTTCACCTTGCTGGGCTGTAGTCTTAGGGAATCCCAGAGGGGGCACAGGGGTAACCGCTGCCAGGAAGCAGTGGTGGCCCCAGCCCCCGGCGGGTGCCTGTCGGGGAGGCCGCAAAGGGAAGAGTGGAGACTTTGGTCTGAGTCAGACCTGAGGTTGCTGTGCCAGCCTTCATGCCCTCTGTGTTAAGGGAAGCAGTGATGCCTTTTTCTAAGATCGCTGCGAGCATTACATTATTAGATAGGGTATTATGTAATCAAGATACAGAGCTGAGAAAGTTTCAGGTAAGCTTTCAACCAAGAAGGTGCAGGTGCTGTCCCTGACCCCTTCCCCCTGTAGGTGCCAGCGGGGCCAAGGCTAGGAGCCTCCCTGGCTCCACAGGAAACAAGATCTGGAGCTGGCAGAGAGGGGGGTACAAGGGCTGTCCTGACTGACCAGTCCTGAGACAGCCTGCTGTCCCTAGAGGGGCCTGAGCATTAGCTGGAGGGGAGAGAAGTTCTGTCCAGGTTCCTGGGGAAGCAAGACGCCAGCGGGACTCAGGCACATCCATGCCATCAGCTCCTGTTTCCCCAGCTCCCCAGCAGCCAGGAGGGCAGCTGGGCTCCCTACAGAAGTTTCTGACCATCACCCCCAGTGCTCAGAACCAGTGCTCGGAAGGCCCCTGCTTTCCTTCCCCTCTAGATTTGCCTTTGTAGGTGTGGTGGGGGGCAGGGAGTAAGGGCAGCTAGTGGATGCCGTGAATGGAGTGGCTTCCAGCATCTCCTCCCCACCCTTCCACGCCAACCACCCCAGGGGATTTCTCATGGAGCCCTAAGCGCATTTAACATTGTGTGATTAAATTACCGTCATGCATGCTTCGCTCCCATCCCATCTGGCCTCCCTTGGGTCTTGCTCTATCCCTTACCCTCTCACTGGAACCTCTGTCTCCCCATGGTCTCCCTCTCAACCCCACCCTGGCTGATGAACAAGCCAGAGCCTTGTCTATGCTCAGAAAGCCTCTCATTGCACAGAGGGTTTTTAGGGCAGTGAAAATACTCTGCGTGATACTATAATGGTAAATATGTCATTATACATTTGTCCACACCCATAGCACAACACCACCAGTGAACACTAATGTCAGCTATGAACGCTGAGTGATAATGACGTGTAGATGTAGGTTCATCAATTCTAATAAATGTACCGCCCTGGAGGGGGATGCTGACAACAGGGAAGGCTGTGCATACATAGGGGCAGGGGAAACATGGGAAATCACTGTACCGTCTCCTCAATGTTGCTATGAATCTAAAACTGCTCTAAGAAAATAGTCTTTAAAAAAAAAAAAGTCTCTCCCTCCCTTGCCTTAGCTGCTGTGGCTAGCTCCTGTCCTATTTCTCTCCTTTCCAGGCTTCTCCAAGAAGTGGTCAGCAGGTCCTGCCTCTACTATCTCCCATCCCTCTCACACCCAGCCATTTGACTCTGGCCCCAGTATCCCACACATACCAGGGACGTCCCTGTGCCCACAGCCAGGTTCACTGGTCCCCTCTCCAGCTGACCATACCCTTCCCTGGCCTCCTGAGCCTCCCTTTTCTCCTCCCCTGGTCCAGGTCGACAGTTCTGTCTGTGTCCTGGATGTCACCTGTAGAATGCTCCCACGGGCACATCACTCTCATCGGGCCCCAGAGAACAACAGGACACGGCAAAGTCCGCTTCGTGCCTCTTAAGCTCTTTCCTGGGTAGAGTGGAGCCAGATCCCAAAGAGGCAGGGAAGTTGTATTTGGGAACGAGAGGGTCTGGGGTGGGGGGGCCTTTGCAATGATAGGCCACCCCTGGATGGAGGGGACCATGTAGAGGGGGACAGAGACTCAGGGAACGGGGGAGACGTCTCCCAGGCCACCCAGCAGGGCCCTGTGGACCCTACTCAGGAAACCACCTCACACTTGCTGCTGTCCCACAACACCTTCAGCCCGAGGGGCCTGGGGCTGCCCAGGAAGCTACCCATCGTGTCCTGTGTCTTGTCCCAGGGCCTTGGAGGGTCCACTCCCCAGGATCCAGCCAGCCTCGTAGCCATGCCCTCCAGGGTCCTCACAAGGACCCTGGTCCTTCAGCTCTGAGCACCAGAGAGGGGAAGCATGGGATGCGAGGGCCTGGCCGGGGGCCCGCTAAGAATGCCTTCGCCAGCTGTGGGCCTGTCGGTCATCTTCCCCATTTGTTCCTGTGTTGTGGGAGGAGCAGCCCCAGCAGCCCCACAGGAGCCCTCCAGAGGCTTGCCTGACCTTCAGGGTGGCTATAAACAGCATGACCTGTCAGCACTGACAGGCGCTGCCCCAGAAACAGCTCCAGCAGCCTCAGAATTCCAGGAATCACCAGCACAGTTGCCCCAGAATAGTCTTGGCCTTCCTCCTCCCTGGGGACCCTCTGTCCTCTGCATCTCCATTGTAGTGGGGGGGGGGGCGGAGTCTGACAAATTCGGAAACAGAAAATTGCCAAGGGGCTGTGGGTGGAGCAGAGAGACAGGCCCCACCCAGCTCAGCCCACCATGCCCAGGTCCTCACAAGCAGTCCTGGATGAACAACAGGTGTAAAGCATTTTCACAAGTGCAGGTTAGGAAGCATTCTCTGGAAGGTACTATCCTCATTTTACAGATGGGAAAACTGAGGCTTAGCAGGTGAACTGACTTTTCTAAGGTGACACAGCTGTGAGTAGCAGAGCTGAACAAAAGTCCACACCTCTTCCATAAAGTCCACAGGCACAAGGGGCAAGGCCCCAGACCATGGCCCCAGCCCTGGCCTAGTGATTGGCTGGGGTGGGGGCTGAGCTTTTGGAGTGGCTCCCACCCCTCCCCCACATCCTGGAGAACTGGCTGGGGTTGGAGAGGGTGGGGGTGAGAGGGCAGCTCATGTTGCAGGCCCAGCCGCACCTGTCCAAGATAAATAAAGGCATTTCCCCCTCCACCCTCTGAGTCTCCCTTATGAACCTCCTTTATGTGGGTCCTCAAGCTGAGACCCATTGAAGGGGGGCCTTGAGGGGCTGCTGCTGCCCCAGGGTTGGTGCTGTGGGGCTCATGGCTAAGGTGGAGTGGGGACGGAGCTACCACCCAGCCTGCAGGTGGCTGCCTTCTTACAGAAGGCGCTGCAGTCTGCACTTACACAGGCCCCACTCCATGTTTTCCTACTACTCCCTACCACAGGGGTGAGAGGTCAAGCATGGAAGCTAGGGGTTAGCACAGGAGCCCATGTGCAAATTCAAGTCTCAGTTTGCCTGGCTCCAAAGCCCTGCCTGCCTGAGCACCCCTCAGGATTGCAGTGCATGTGCAAAGGTACCGGCCCCTTCTGAGAATGAGCAGGCCCTGCCTCTGCAAATCCCCTTTCACAACATGCCACCTGTCACCCGAGCACCCGTGGGTTCATACGGGAAGTGGATCATGGCTGGGGTGGGAGTAGGGTCTCTCCAGAGAGCTGTGGCCTTGCATCCCCTTGGAAGAGAAGTTGCTGGAGCAGAAAGGCCTAGAGAGCCCCAGCAGGAAATACCACCTGGCCAGCAACACTGAACTTGGGACACGTCAGCCCAGGGTATCAGCAGCCCACCAGAGGAGTTTATCAAGAGGCTCCAAGCCCTGGGGAGGCCCTAGTGCCCACCTGGTCCAGCTTGCTCATGGCCTTGGTGATTTGGGGCATGCCCCTGTAGAAAGCAGAAAGGCCATCATGCCCATCCCCTGATGCCCTGCCTGAGTGGGTTCTATTTTTAAAAGTCCCCCCTAGTCATTGGCTCTAGTACATCCCAATACACGCCCTTCCTCACAGTGAGGACATTCTTCCTGCTGTCTAGCTTAAGGCCTCTATGCTGCCATTTCAGCCCTGAGCTGGCCAGGCCAGGTGGCACATAGACCCTGGGTGAGGTAATTGGCTATCCTGGGTGCCACTGAGCCAGGAGGCTAATATCCACCGCAGAGATGGGGCAGAGAGCACCAGGAGGAGGCCTGAGGATGGCTGGGTTGGGGGAGAGTTGGGCTCGAGCCTAGGTGTGTGTCACTGGTGGATCTATTAGAGTGAGGGCGCACAGCCCCATCTCATGCAGAGAGGAGACCCGCAACCATGGGAGTGGGAGTTGTGCAGGGTCCAGGGAGGAGGGTGTCCACTGGGGCTCAAGTGCCCATGTGTCACGGTATCATCAGGCAGGGTGTGCAAGTCTCTAGGTGTCCTTTCAGTAGGGGACCCTGTGGTCTCCAGGGGAGTGGGTCTGGGGGTGCAGACTCAGGTTAGAATAAGCCAGCTCTCCAGTAGGAAGATGGAGGGCAAGGCCTTACTCTGGGCTGGAGCCATGCCAGTGCCCTGCCCCAGAGGAATGCAGCCTCTATGGCTATTATGAGCCTCCCATAGCACCCCTGAGTAGAACTTCTCCTAGGGGTCCCCCAAGTGCCCACATAAGGTTCCACAACCAGGACTGCTCATCCCGTGGGGGCATTGGCTCCCTGCACCCTCTGCCAAGCACCTTTCAGGCCTTCCTGGCTTCTCACCTCAGTGCCTCCCTGCCCCTCTCTACCCCCAGGCCCAAGGCAAGTCTCTGCTCCACAGGAGAAGAAACTGTCTTCCTGTCCCCAGGTGGGCAGCAACCCAGACACTCCTGCCCATCCATCACCCTCCATTGACAGCCTGGGGCCTCAGCCTGCCCCCTTGTGCCCACATCAGCACTGCAGGCGGCCACCTCAGCCTTACCCCACCAGGCAGAGCTTGTCTATGCTCTCACACACCTCACAGTCCCCTCTGAGCCTCGGGGCCTTCAACCCCAGCTAGGTCAGACTTGTTGGAGAGTCCCTTTACTTGGCAAATGTTGCCTGAGTACCCACTATGTTCTAGGTTCTGGTGTAGGTGCAGAGGAACCAGCAATGGTTAAAACAAAGTCCTGTCTCACAGATAGCTTCCTTTCGAGCAGATCTAGCTTCTCAGCTCTCTGGGTTTCAGTGTCCCCAGTGGGACAATAGAGTTACTCATACGTCCTCCAATGTTCTGTGACATCCCCATTACGCAGTGCTGTTCCCTGATCATAGACACTGCAGGACATGGCTCATTTTCCCAGGGAAGCATGGGGAATAAGATGTGAGACAGACAGGCAGAGCAGCCGTGGGTGAAGGGACAGGGGCTTGGGCAGGTGAGGGAGGAATCCCAGCCTCACGAGGCCAGCCAGTGCAGACTCAGGAAGGAGGGAGCGAGGCCAGTGCAGACTCAGGAAGGAGGAGGCGAGGGCTGTTATCTTGGGTCTGGGATGAAGTGGGTGCTGGAGCCCCATAACCAGCCCAATCTAGCCCCAAGTCCTGACAACCGAGGTCATCAGTCTGTCCATCTGTTCATTTGCCCTCCTGTCCCCTGCCCTCTCCATGCTAGGAGTGCTCTCTCCCCAGAGTAGTTCCCACTTCAAGGGGATGAGGGCACCCTGAGCCCACCCTGCTGAGGAAGAGCTTAGGAAGGCGTTATTCTGTTCACCTGCCTGCCTGCCATGAAAGCTTGGCACTTCTTTCTCTGCTCAAAACACCCGCCACTTGCCCATGACATTTTACACTCATAACACACTGGCCAGTTCGGGTGGGCACACAGCTGTGGCTGCAATCAGGGGTCTGTGGTTGGCAGCATCCAGTTGTGTCTATTCCCAGCTCCCAAACTGGGGATCAGGTGTGCTCTGCTTTTCAAGAGCCTTGAGGAGGACAGACAGATGGACACACACACCCCACTCTGAACATGCCAACCCCTGAGGGCACTAGGCCGTGGGCAGTACTCACTTACCCGGGAGATAGTGAGTGGCATGTTGAAGTCCTTGCCCCCCTGCAGACGGAAGCCCCAGGGCCCAGGCCCGGTCAGGGTCACGCTGTAAGACATGCTGGTGCTGACAGTGACCACCTCTGTGGACAAGAGAAGGGTGGAGTGAGAGGGCCCTCAGGTGCCCCGCCTCCCCAGCCCATACCTCTGCCCCTGCCCCCGACCCCCGATCCCCAGCCTTGCCTGCTCTGTCCCTTGCTGCACAACTAGGCTGTGTGGAGCTCCTGAGAGGCTCCTAAGAATAGCTGGGAATGAATGCCATCGACACTGATATCTGCCCTCTACTGCGCCCATAAATGGACTGTAACCCTACACTGTGCCCGCCTGCCGAGGCCTCCCAGCGGGTGCACTGTGACTCACATGGCTAATATAGCCCCTGGGGAGGGGGGTGTCCGGCGCCCAGTAACCTCCAAGGGGCAGGATTGGGGACTGGCCAGGTCAGTGATAAGGCCCTCACCTCCCTGCTCTCCTCTTCTTGCTGCCTCTGCTGGGAAGCCTCCATGCACACTCTCTCCACTGCTGCACCCACCCCTTTGCTCAGAAGACCAGAGCTGAGCTCCCTTGGGCAGGGGCTTTTCCGCTTGGCTTATTGCTGCCCTGTGCTTACTGATGAAAGGTTGTACCTGATCCAGTGTGGGGCCCTGATGGTCCCTAAGACTGAGCTGAGCCTCCAGCTGGTCTGGGCAGAGCTTCAGCGCATAAGACTAGTAACTGTCCCAAGGTTGTCCAGCCATAAAAATGATTGTCATAATAGAAGCAGGTCTGAGAACAGCCAACCTCAGCTCCAGGCCCTTCATACTGTTGTCCCCTCAGATCTTGAGAGGCTGCTGCCTTGGCAGGAACCGAGGCTCAGAGAGGTTAAGTGACTTTTCCAAGGTCACACGGAATGGACTCAGGTCACACTGGACCCTGGGCTCATTCCGATGGTACTCGTGCCAGATAATGGGCTCCCAGTGGCCAAAGGTGCCTCCCAATGCCAGGACCTGGTGGGGGGTGTGCCTGCACCCCTCAGCACAGGACCTAGAAGCAGGTCGGGGGCAGGCCCACTTCCTCCAGACCCTCTAGGGGCCCGGCAGTTATTCCTGGCTCTCCTGGCTCTCCTGCCTCATTTGTGCTCTGGAAAACTTGACGGCAGCATGGAAAGCTCCAGCTGCCAGTATGGCACGCCAGGCCCCTGTGCCCTTTGCGCTGGAATGGCAAGGGGCAGGGAGGAGGGGAGGAGATGCCATTAGCTCAGCTGCTGGGACACAGGGCCAGAAGAGGTAGCGAGAGCGTGCATGTTCCGTGTGTTCAGCCTGTAACCTAGAGACAGTGTGTTCTGGGAGGGGACCTGGGCCCCTTGAGACTCCTGCCAGTGTGATCTTTGGGCCAGGATACTTGCAGAAGCAGTTCCCCAGAAGAGACTTCAGACCTTGGGTAGTCTGGAGATATATCAAGGCCCACCCTGGCTCCTGGCTGGGGAAACTGAGGCTCGGGGAAGGTAATTGGGCCGGCTGCTCTCTGGCCCTCCCGTAGGGCTCTGGCCTGAGCTGGGGCCCAAAAACTAAGTGCAGGCCTGGGTGTGAGTAATTTGCCAGCTGCCAGCATCCTGCCTCACACTCGGTCTGGCACATACAACACTCAGGGGAGAAGGAGTCTCCACATCACAGGCACATTTGGTAACTTTCCCAAGGCCACAGAAATGTGAAGTAGAAAAGCCAGAGATGGACGTGTGTTCTTTCTTCCACTTCACCACCTCCTCTGCCCTGTGTCATGCAGACCAGCCTGTCTTCTCTGCTGGGGCCTGGCCCAGGAGGCCAGCAGCTTATGGCCAGCACCCCATCCCTCCCCCATCCCATCCCCTGTCCCTTCTCCAGGCCCCATCCCATCCATCCCTCATCCATCCCTGACTCCAGCCTTATCCCCTTTCCTAGGGAGGTCAGTCCTGCCAGGCTGGAGAGGAACCATCGCAGGGCATGACCAGTGTGGGGTAAGGAAGGAAGGGTAAGAGGGGGGCCCCAAGCTAGGCTGTACCTGGAGCTGCAGGCTCTTTCTCGGACTTGGGCACCCGCCTGATGCCTGATGCTGCCTTGGGGAAAGGGAGGGGCAGTGGGAAGGATACTCTTAAAGGGGAAGGCCAGCCTTTCTCCATCTGCCTCCCCTGGGGGACCCAGGCCAGCCAGAGAGCAGCTGTTACCCACCAGCTGGGCAGTAGCCACTTCTCAGTAACAGCAGCTCATTAGGGAGTGGGAGTGGGGGCAAGCCTGGTCTTTGTCCCGCCCCCACTCTGCCCCCCACCACAGTTTGAGATGGGGCTTCAGGAGAGAGTCACAAAGTGGGGAATAGAGGGAAGGGAGGAAAAGAAGCTGATGTGGACAACAGAGGGCAGGCCTGGGGTTTCTCTCCCATTGCAGCATCAACAGATAGAGACCATGTTTGTCTGAGACCTTTTAATTTTCCTATACTCCATCAGCACCACACAGCCCTGGGTGAACTTAGACCACCAATTTGCAAGAAATCACAGGTGCAGTGCATGCACACATGTGCTTGGTATGCATGCAAATATGTACATATGGGAGAGCGTGCCTGCAACTCTACATGTGCACAAACGTGTGGGCCGAAGTGGAAACAGTACACTGCAGGGAGCAGCCAGAGGTGAGTAACAGTTTCCAGCTCATGAAGGTCTGTGCTCAGCTTCAATTGCTGGCTGAAGGAGACACAGCACCGAGTCTCCTTTGCCAGTGAAATGCCCAGCCTGGGTACAGATGCAGCTCATAAATAGTTGGTGTGTCCAACAGAGCCATCACCATTGTCATCGCCTGGACAATCACAGCACACAGCATTTGAGGAGAGGCAGATGGCTCTGGGAAGCAGCAGCGCCTGGGCTCCACTCTTCAGTTTGAGCCTGGGGTGTAGGCTGCTGAGATGAGAATTGGGAGCAGACCACTTTGCAGGGCAGGAGTCTTGTTTTGGAAGCGTGAATCCAGCATGCCATGGGTGACAGGGCCACTTCCAAAGCCGACAGGCTCGTGGGGTAATCCTGGGTTTGTATGAGTGAGGGTTTGTGAGGAGGAGGATATGTCCCAGAAGAAAAATAGAGCCTCGGTTACTCTACATCCTGGGGTCCAGGCTAGGGAGCTGTCCCTTGGTCTGAAAACAAACAGCACACATCTGCTTAGCCCAAGGAGTGTGCCTGTAGGAGCAGTCTCCCAGCGACCCTCTGTGTTTAGGGTCACCAAGTGGTGAAGGGAGGTTGCATGGAGGGCCAGGGTGTGTCCTGGGTCAGGGACGGGCCTTCTTCAACACCACAGGCAATGTGGCCTGGAAGGTGGAGCCAGTGGGCCTAAGGCTGCCTTGCCTACAGGACATCCCCGGGGGTGTCCTCCAGGCTCGGGATCCTGGGGTCCAGACTGAGCTCTCCTCACCCTACCACCCACTTCTCCACTTCCGTCCTCATCCACATGCCTGTGCTCTGGCATCTCCGCCCCCCTGCTGCCTAAAATGCCTCATTCCTTGCCTGACCCTACAGCACTAGCTTCCTCTGGTCTTCGCCCTGCAGCTTATTCCATTCAACCTGTCCTTCCCCAGTCACTGCAGAGGGGACCAGCTACCCTGCAAAGCTGACCCAGCCCCCGTTAGGGCCCCCACTAAGTCCCCCAAGGGCTCCCTGTCCCCCAGTGTCATGCCTGGAGATACCCCCTGGCCATCACCCCTCCCACCTCCTGCCTCTCTTCTTTCTCCCACAACCCCACTGCCAGCTCCCAGGGTCCCTTTGGCTGATTCTGAGGTCACAGAGTAACATTCTATTCCAGGACACTGAGCTCCCCTGTGCCCCACTGCATTCGTACAAGCTGTTTCCTCAACTTGGACCCCTCAGCACCCCCATCCTGTCTGGCAATTCCTACTTCACCTCCACCTTCCCTGGGGAGCTCACGGGGACTTGTGTCTGCTTTCAGCACCCTGTGCGCTGATACCTTGATAGCAGTGCTTATCACATGTTAGGTGACTGCTGATGTGCTATCCCTTTCTGCTCGGCGCCCCAGCCCAGCCCAGCCCAGTATTCCCCCCGGGACAAACATCATGCCTTTTGTCATTGCCCCACCAGCCTGGGGGGCACAGCTGGGCCTCTGTCCTGGCCTCTGTGGCCATGCACAGTGTCCAGGCTCAGGGCTGGGGATTGAGTCTTCCTGGGGCTGGATCATCACGGGAACAGTGTTCCCTGGGACACTGACACAACTGCAGGGAACAGCCCAGGGCTCCCCCTCTCTGACACACGCAGGGGAGCAGCCTTGGGAAAGGAAGGCCAGAAAGTGCCTCTGGTGTCGGGCTTGCTGGGGAAGCCCCTGGCAACCCAGGAGCTGGGGGTGCTTGTGTAGGTGTGAATGAAGGGCCAGGGTCGGGGGCTGTCAGCTGAGGGGGAGGGGCAGCCTCAGGCCCTGTGGCCACGGCATTTCCAGCGTTCCAGAATATGGCCTTCTCTAATCGCCATCGACATTCCATTCCATAGGCACTTGGGCTGACAGCTGGCCTTCTTTTAATAGCCACAAGTATTCTGGGTGACGTCCTAATCTCAGGGCACTCACAGCGAGCACACACGCAGCTTGCAGCACCCCCACCCAGGTATGTATGCCCAGCCTCCAATCACACCGAGAGGTACACACCACCCATACTTGGTCACACACACAGCTTAGAGCAGACATGTTGGGGCACACTCAGTTCCACACCCTGTGGTGTCACAGTGACAGAGAGCATGTGCTGGGCACATGGTCACACACACTTACACACACATGAACACTTAACACAGCATAGCCACCACCACCGGCTACCTGAGTGGTCATACATTGTCACATAGACACTCTCAAGGGCAGTCACAGACCACGCTCAGGCCTGCTCAGAAGATCTGGGAGTCACAGACCCCCAAGCCTTTTAGGCGGGCAAGGGAAAGCTGGGAGGTGCTGGGAAAGACTAATTCTCAGAGGGCACTGGGCCTGCCCACAGAGAATAACCTCCCTTTTCCTGGCCAGTTTCTGGGCTACTTGCCCCTTGTCTCCACCCTTTATAGATTGGCAGGGGCTGGGCCCAATCACCTTCAGTGGAGCCTCTGCTTCAGATCCCTGGGGCTTAGGAGAGACCTTTGTTTCCACATCCTCCAGGCCCAGGCTGCAGGGTGATGGGCCACTCACTTGCTGGGCAGCCCCCCACATAGCTGCTGCCTCCGTGTCTGTCCAGCCCTGCGGGAGGTGGAAGAGTCACTGTGAGGTGAGAGGGGCATTCTGTAGTCTTGCTCCTGCCCCCTCTCCCACTCCTTTCTCCATCCACCCCAAGATATTCACTGGGGTGAGGCCCATGGCATTGTTTGCTGGGTTGATAGTCACCAAATCTCTGCACAGCATAGCCAGGGTGAATGTGCCAGGGTGTGTGTGTATGTGTATGTATCTTCTAAAGCATGTAGGATGGGTCTATCTTCATGAGGGTTAACAGATAAGATTACCTCCTGATGTCTTTCACTACAGTGGTTCAGGGAAGGGACCTCTGACAGCTCCTTCCTCAGCCCTCAACTGAGACTCCCAGGGATGGGGGTGGTGGGAGGTCAGAGGAGGCTCTCGGCAAGGCCCACAGTGGGCCCTGCAGACACAGTATGGGGGAGCCTGAATGTGGCTGGGGACAGCCGCCCATGCTGCGGGAGCTCTCCTGGGGACATCAGGGGGCATCACAGCTCCAGGACCTAAGGAAGGGCTAGCAGGCTGATAGCTCCCAGGACTCACAACGGTGGGGTCCGCATCCACCCGTGGGCACCTTAGCCAGACTTGGATGTAGAGGCGACTGTTTTCCATTTCAGCAGAGGACATAGAGGCTGAGAGAGTGAGTGACCTGCCCAAGCTCACACAGTGAGTACGTGATAGAGCTGAGGCTTGAACCCAGGTCCCCTGACTCCAAGGCCAGTGCTCCTTCCTCTGTATCCTGTAGGCTCTTCAAGACTTCCAGGAGGAGGGGGCTTAATGCTGAGAGCAAGGGGCCCTGAAATGGCTCCTGTCTATTTCTCTGTAGGTCATTTGAGGCCAGAAATGCTAGTCTTTTTGATCTGTGGTTATAAGGGACAATGCCAGCCTGGAAGAGTTGGCCTGGAATTGGAAGACCTATGTTCAGTCCTGGCCTTGCTGCTGGGTGACCTTGGGCTAACCCATTGCCTCTCTGGCCCTCGTGCCCTTACCTGTCAGGGAGGATGATACGTAGAAAGGCTGTAGGAAGGTTGGGAGGGGCTCTTCCTGCCAGCGTCCCAGGGTCCTGAGGGCCCCTGAGGCTCAGAAGCATCCCTGCCCAGAGACTAGCCTGCTTGAGGAAGGGATGGCCAGCCAGGGAGGGCCCAGCATCCTTACCACCTCGCTCTCAGAGCCCAGGGACGCCTGGCGCCTCCGTCTGGAGATCCAGCTGAGGTCCGAGGTGTGGCTGCTGCTCAGTGTGGACCGGTGGGTGGAAATGTAGCTGGTGTATGGACCAGTGCGCTGGCCTGACACACCTAGCAGCACTCCCAGGCAGGGCAGGTGCTGGGCTATGGCCATTCTGCAGGGACAGCACAAGGAAATAGGGATGGATGGACAGACTGATACAAGGCTAATGGGAATGGATAGAGGGCCACTGGGGAAATAGGAAGGTTCACACATTGGGGTTATAAGGACAGACAGAGAGATGATGGAGTAATGGGAATAGATAGAAAGACACTGGGAGTCATGGGAAGTGATGAGGAAGGACAAACAGATGCTGGGGTGAAGGAGTCTGACAGGCTCACAGGGTTGGGGATGGACAGGCAGATGCTGGGCTCATGGGCATGGAGGGAGAGCCTTAGGGTAGCAGGTTCAGCCAGGTGCTCGGTTCCAGCCCTGGCTGAACCTAGTGCCTAGCCCAAGTCAGATCTCTGCCTGGGGGGACCTCTGAGCTGGATAGGCTAAAGCCTGAAGCAGGCCTCAGCAGGGCGGTGAGTTACTGACACCAACTGGCAAAAGGAAGCACTGAAGGCCCTCTCATGGGAGAGGCCAGATGCTGGGATTTTATCAGCAGAGAGCACTCTGGTCCAGAACCATCCCACGGCCTCTGCCAGGCCCCTGAAGTGGAGCTGAGCTCTCCCTGCTGTGGTCTCTCCAGGATGTTGCTGTCTGGGGGCTTCTTCTCCTTATAGGGGGCAGCACTGCTGATCAGCCATCATGGCTGCCTTTTGGCCTTGACTCCAAAAATCCCTAGTTAGGACTGAACACTGCCCTGGGAGCCCTGATATCTCTCCAAGGTGAACCCCCTGGGAAGCTAGAGCAGCAAAGGGGATCACACCGGCTCCAGACCCCACCCAATGTCACTGGCTGCTCCCAGCTGCCAGAGGCCCCCGCCCAATAGGTATGCAAGAGATAGGAAAGATTGTGGCCTCTACCCCCATTCATAGGCACAGTGCCCCCATGGCCACGAGGGTGGGCCTGGGGACCTGGGGCTGGGGCTGGGGCCTGGAGGAGAGCTGTACCTGTACTTGGGGTGGGTGATGGCATAAATGATGGGGTTGTGGATGGCAGAGGCCTTGGCAATGATGGCTGGCACTGAGTTCATGTAGGGCGTCAGGACATGCGAGTACCTAGAACAGAGAAGCTGTGGTCCCCCTGCCAGCTGGCCCTCCCCAGAGATGCAGCAGCCCATCCACCCTCTCAGGAATCTTTTTCCTCTAAGCTAGGCCCTGCCAGTGGCTCAGCTCAGCCTGGCCCAAACCATCATGGCCAAGTCAGCCCTATGGGACAGACTTCAATACCAGGGAGAATTCTGATATGAGGTGAGTGGGAACCCAGAGAGCAGTTGAGGGAGGGGCTGGGAGGAAAATGTGCCAGGTTAGGGGGTTTCACTGTCCCTTGGACCCTGTGCTGCCAACAATAAACCCTTTCCAACCCCAATGGCCTGGCCCTCTGCTCAGCGCTGTCCATGCCCCACTCCAACCCTGATGCCCGTGGCTCCCCTGGCTCTCTGAGAGTAACTTCACAGGAGGGCCCACAGGGGACCGTTCCTGCACAAGAAGATTACATACCCAAACACTTCCAAGGATTAATAGCTCTCCCTGTCTCAAAAGTGTTTCTGAAGTCTGGCCCACATCCACATTACTGCAAATGTCAAAGTCTCCAGCCTCTTGCCGCAAAGAACTAAAGGGCAGGAGGTGAGCAGAACCCCTGGCTGTGTGCCCAGGTGAAGAAAGTACTAGAACCTCAGGGAGATCCATGTATTCTCAAGGGATCTGGAAGAACCTGGGAGCCCTTGCAGCCCCTCAGGCCATGTTCGGTGTGGCCCAGAGGTCCCCCAACCTGTATCCTAGTGCCTCCAGGAACCAGGCAGGCTCAGCTCCAGTGGAAGGAACATCTCATAGCAGGGGGAAAAGAAGGCTGTGAGGCTAGACTTAGGGTGTGAGGATGGCTGGCTTGGACTTGGGCTGGAAAGGGAGAGGCTGCCCCAGGGCCCCCTTACACTCCCCCACCCCTTCTCCCCCAACACCAGCCCCTTAGCCATTGCTCACCCAGCAAAGGCCATCAGGGCCACAGTAGAGTAGGGGGCCCAGGAGAGCACGAAGAGAAGGATGACCAGCAGCACAATCTTGGCCATTTTCCACTCGCTCTGCAGCCGCTGCTGTTGCCTGGGCAACTCACTGAGGCCCTCACAGGCCCCAAAAGTCTGGAGAGCCCTAGGAAAGGTGCAGAGTCTGGGTCTGACCCCACTTGGGTTGCAGTGACTGCCAGGGTCATGGCCACTGTTGGGGAGCCTCCCTGGACCTGGCCATCCCTTCCAGTGCAGGCAGCCCTGACACCCAGAAAGTTCTCCATTACATCCAGCCTAAGCTGCTTCCCTGGGGTCCCACCTGCAGTGTCTACTCTGCTCCCCAGGCCCACTGACATGCCTAAAGGCTCCCTCCTGAGAAGACCCTGTCTCCTGAGGCTTCTCTAGGTACCAGGCTGTGCTGGTCTCAAGGCACCTACCCCATAAGCACAGGTACTCAGCTTGTCTTTGCCCATCTGGAGCTGGGAGTTCCCCTGGGTGGATGCATATGTGAGCCTTTGGTGAAGGAGCATGCCCCCCCTCCCGTCTAGCACCTCATCCATGCCCAGCTCTTACTGGCTTGTCTCCCGGATGGCCCTGAAGATGAAGATGTAGCAGTAGATGATGACAAGCAGAGGGAGGAAGAACACGAAGCAGAAGAGCAGCATGGTGTAGGCACGGACCGACGGCGTGAAGCTCATGTAGTCCCAGGAGCAGGAGGTCAGCAGCCCCTCAGGCACATAGGCACCTGGGAGCCAGGGGCAGTGCTACCTCAGGCTCCTCATCCAGCAGGAGCTTTGGATGTGGGGTCTGGGATCCCAAACCCCTGGCCGCAGCCCCAGCCCTGCTCAGTGCAGTGAGGAAGCGGGGCATCTGGAGGGGAGCTTTCTAAGCCAGTTCTGACATGGGCACCTGCTCAAGTGACAGCTGGCAAAGCCCACTGCTGCCCATTCTTGCCAGTTTGGAGTAGAGCCCTCACCACAGCCCCAGGGTCCTTCTCCCCCAGGTTTCAGCCAGCTTCCTGGTCCTGCCCCAGAAGGGCGGGTGCCTTGCTGCTAACCCTCCTAACTGCTGAGGCCTCACACCCTAACCCCTGCCAGTCTGACTCACTGCAAACTCAGCATGTACCTATTTCCGCCACCCTGGAACCACATGATCTTCCCCTCTCTACTGAGGGATGGGAGCCCACGTCATCCTCTGATAGCTGATGATGCAGCCTCAGTTCCCCTGCCGCTAGTCATGCTCCCTGAACATCCACCTCCCTGAGGCTCAGGCAGCCGCCTGGCCTCTCCTGCCAGCTGGTCAACCCATGTCTACGAACCAGCCCCCTCCAGACTATATCCTCCCCTCCCCCAATTCCCCCAGCCCACTTACTCCAGCCAAAGAAGGGTGGAAGACTCCAGGCCAGGGCGTAGAGCCAGACGCCTAGCAGGACAAGCGCCGCCCGCCTCTTGGACACCACCCCGATGGCAGCTAGTGGGCGTGTGATCACCAGGTATCGGTCCAGGGCGATGGCCGTCAGGGTAATCATGGAGGTAATGCCAAAGAGAGCTCCACAGAAAGCATAGAACTCGCATCCTGTGGGCACAGCTTCCTGACCTCAGCCCTTGGCAGGGAGCCCATCAGGTACCCCAGGGGAAGGAGGGCCTGGGGATGGCGTGTACTCGGCTCCTGCCATCTCAAGAAAAGAAGGTTGAGCCCCTCTCCACCCTGCCTACTTTCTGTGTCTGACAGAGGCTGGTGGATGCCTCAGGACTGGAACATGAGTCTTCCATGTTGCTCACTCATGGGATGAGGGCGGCTACCCACTCTCTGCCAAGGGAGAGCAAATCACCTCCTCACCTGGGCCACCCTGCACTGTGGGCATCCCCTGCCACAAACCTCCCCCCTCCAGCAAAAAGGAGCCCTGAGTGTCTACCTGCCTCCCCAAAGAGCCACCGTTTATAGAGGCTGCTGGCGAAGACAACGGGGGCCTGGGTGAAGGACATGAGGAAATCACTGACTGCGAGGTTGATAATGAACATGTTGGCAGGCGTCCTGAGTCCTCTGCTCCTGTGAGGGGTGGGAAGCTGTCAGCAGGTGTTTCTGCCAGAGAGTGTCCCCACTAGGCATGCACACGTGCACAAACACATGCACATGTGCACACATGCCCATGCATACACACATGCACACACGTGCATGCACACAGACATGAGCCACTGGGCCATTTCACTGCCCAGCAAGTACCAGGCGAACAGCTCTGGTGCCCAGCAATGCAGCCTGAGACATGAGACCCTTGTCTTTTGAGCGTGGTTCTCTCAGAATGAAGCAGAGAGCACTGCCTCCCCCGAGCTTTGCTCGGCCCGGCAGAAGCTGGGTTTTGGTGGCATCCATTACTTCTTCTCACCCTCTGCATAACCCATACTGTCTCCTTGGACACATCTCCTTGGACACACTCCTCATTTCTCTGAGCCCCTCCAGGACAAGTTCTCCTGAGCAGCTTCTCCCTAGGCTAGTCTTCCCCTGTACCCAGGCTGTGCCTCCTTTGTCCTCAGGCACCCTCCGCATCCCCCTTCTTCCAGTATTGTGGTCTGTGCCTGGCTCAGCACAGCTGAGTCTTCATTCCTCACCCTCAGGGGAGGCAAAGGGCAATGGAGCTGACGATTGTGCTCCATGGACCAAGCATTTTCACAAACTTCGTCTCCTGTAATCATCCATCTTTGCATCTACCTCCACCCCCACTTTCCAGGTAAGAACAGTGAGGTTCCCATTTGTGATGTGTTTCACTCCAGATCACAAAACCCAGTAAGTGGCATAGCCAGGATTTGAACACATTTGCTGAGCACTGCGTATACATAAACCTAATATTACATTGACTCCATGAAGTAAAATACAACTCCATTTTGCAGACGAGATATGTGGGCTTAAAGAGGATAGATGACTTGCCCACAGTCATTCAGCTAATAGATGATAGAGCCAAGGCTTCACTTGTCTGCCTGCCTGTCTCAGCCATTCAGCCTGAAAATGGGCAGATGTGGAAAGAAGGGGTAGTTGCTGAGGGGTTTGAGGACTCAGGGCCCTGGTGCCAGGGCTGCTCTTTGAGGCAGAGGGAGGATGCTCACCCGGGCAGGTGAAGGTGGAGGTGAGCTGAGAGCTGGGCAGAACTGGCAGAGACCCAAGTTTCCTAGGGACTACCACCCTATACAGAGGGTATGCCTGGGGCCCAACAGACATGTGCCACTTGAACTGCCCTGGACTACCTTTTAGCCCCTTCCCTGAGTTTATAGATTGATGCCTGAGCCTGAGACCATTAAGGGCTTGGCCCTGGCCTAACTGTCCAATCTCAACAGTGCCCTGGCAGAGCTAGCACCAGCATTCCTGCCCTGTCTTTGCATGGCTGGCCACCCTCAGTGCCCAGGCCCCAGCCCCGCCAACCAGGCACCTGCAGAAGGTATAGATGACTGTCAGGTTTCCCAGCATCGCCGTGAGCCCCACTAGCAAGATCACCGTGCCTAGGGTATAGTGGGCTTGGTCTGGAACATTGACCGTGGGGAAGGGGACCCAGGCAGAAGCCTGATCCCCAGCTGCCTGTGGAGAGAAAGAGAAACAGGCATCATGAATCCTGTCAACTTCAAATAGCCCTGAGAAAGGAGGGTTAGGGTTCCCAGTAGGGCAGGTGGGGAAACTGAGGCTCAGAGTGCCAAAGTCACTTCACCACACAGCCAGCAAGTGGCTGAGCTGGAATGGAAATGTTGGCCTCCCTAAAGTTGAGCCCAAGCTCCTACACCATGGCACAGAGGCATAAGTCTTCTAGGATAAGGCCCAGATCACCTGTTGGAGGCTGGTAGGACAGACCGCCACATGTCTGGCAAGTAGGGACATGCCTGGGATGACTCTACCTTTCCTCAGGGAGAAGGCAGAGTCAACTCTTAGGTGGGTTCCTCTCTGCTATATGGGCCTTATCCCAAGTGCCAAGACAGTCAGCAGTAGTATTCCAGGTGCCCTCGACTCTGGGGTGGTGGAGGGGAATGGAACCCCTCTACTCTGAAGTTTCACCCACTTCTGAGCCTCAAAGAAAAGGTTATAGGGCCTGCCAAGTGGCACGATGGTTAAGAACTGGCTTGGGATGCCAGAGGGCCCCGGTTCGGATCCCACATATGAGGGCCAGTGACACTGCCCTCCACAACTAAGATGCTGAACAACAGCTCAACCTGGAGCTGGGCTGCCCTGAGTCGCCGGCAACGGCGTAGGCTGCAGCCCCTGCTGCAGTGGGTTGCCATGGGCTACTGTATGTAGCCAGCAGCCAGCGTGAGCGGCCAGCAGCCGCAGTGAGCGGCCGTCCAGAAGCCGGCGACTGATCTGCCTCACCCGGGAAGAGCGCAATGATGGTGCCAACTTGGGCCAGTGAAGCAACATCCTCCACAACTAGACTGAAGAACAAAATGACAGCAACTTGTCTGTTCCCCTTCCCCCAATTCCCCAGCGCTGTTCCCATCCCCCCAACTCCCCAATAAAAATCTTTAAAAAAAATAGGTTATATTCCCCCAAACTATAACTGGGTAGGGCTGGCATGAGAGAGAGGGAAATACTTCCCCTTTTAAAAGAAAGGTTAGGCTTCCCAGGGTTACTGCAGGGAGGTCATGACACTATAAAACCAGTATAAAGAGATTTAAAGACAACTCCCTCCCCAGTTCCTTTTGGGGGGAGTGATTCAGTCTCTATAGCTACCTGCCCTGACCTCTATAGCTACCGGAGCCTTCCCATCCTGTCCAGGCCCTAGGTCAGCATCCCTGGGTCCTGAGGGTGCCCTCAACCTTCCCCAGTTAATGGTGGGGTTGGTTGGCAAGGCCCTGGGGCCCTGGCTAGAAGGATGGAAGCAGTGGAATGCACCCATGCCTCACTCTGGGCTGGACAAATCCAGAAACCCAGAGTATGCCTTCTTCTCTGGAATGCTCCATGGGGCACCCACCACTCTCAGAAAGGAGTGAATGCAGCCAAGGACAGGTCTGGGCCATTCCAGCCCCTGTCCTTCGAGGCTGGGCTTTCTATTCCTTGGATGCTCTCCTCCAGTGGCCTCTTTGTGTAGGACAGGCTCAGAGAGGTCCAGCAACATGCCGAGTTCCCACAACAGAGCGCAGGCCTTTTCCGTCTCCCTGTCTAAGCCCCTGTGTGTTCCCAGGAGGGGGATCCGGATGGGAGAGGGAAGACTATATGCTGGCACGTGCTCGCCCCAGGCTTACCGTGGGACTGATGGGCAGAGGCTGGTCCAGGCTGGAGACGCTGCCTTGGGAGCTGTCCCACCTGCTGGGTGAGGCTGGGGTTGCTGCACAGCTGAGCTCCTGGGTTGGGTCCGGTGGGACTCTTGGCCCCGAAGGAGGGTTCATCCTGAGGTGGAGAGGTTCTTTCTTGAGCCCACAAAGAAGTCAAGAGCACAGACAGCTCAGGATGTTAGCTGCGCCCAGCATCCCAACTTTCCTCCATACTCTGCACCCCTGCCCAGTCTGCTGGCCTCCTGTTCCCACAACCAGCGTAGACAGCTTGGCGCTGGTGGCTCCTCTGTGTGCAGTGAAGCACAAAGAAAGAGAGTGTTACCGTTATGGCAACTCACATCCACAGGGTCTGTCCCCACCTTTAAGTAGCGAGGCTGGGAGTGCACATGCCCAGTCACTTGGTGCCACCACCCCCTCAGACACTGGTCCCTGCTGATGGTGGTGTGTGTGTGTGTGTGTGTGTGTGTGTGTGTCAGGGGAGATTTTAGGCTCAGGCTTCTGGACATTGGGCAGAAGGCTTTGTCCTCCCCTCTAACCAGGCTCTCTTTCTTCCACAAGCTCAAGAACAGCCTCTGCTGACCCCCAAAACTGCAGGGCTATCCAGTGGACAGGTGAACCTGTGGAGCCCAGAGTCACCCTTTCCACAGGGTGCCCTATTCTCACGTCCAGCCCACATGAGCCCATCTCATCTTCACAACCTTCCTGCACAGAAGCAAGACAGGTCATCCATTTCACAGGAGAAGAAGCTAAGAGGATGAGCCAGGAGGGATATATATATATATATATATATATATATATATATATCTCATATACATATATACATATGTATATATCTATATCTATATCTATATCTATATCTATATAGATAGAGATCTTACAATCAGGTAAGATCAGATCACGAAGCATTTCTGTTTGTTGTTTTTGGATAATAAACTTTTTTATTGAAATGTAAATGTTAAAACAAACAAACAAAAACACCAAAACACAAAGTTGGTAGAGACCTGGGACCTCACCCAGGCCTGTAGTCCTGGCCCAAGATAAGTGAATGTCAGGAGCGGAGGGGCCCCCCAGGTCTGCATTTTGCCCCCTCGGATGAGGCAGCAGGAGCAGAAGCTTTGAGCCCCAGAAGTGGAGAGGGTGGAAACTGTGTACGCTTTGTAGGGGGTCTGCTGGCTTTCAGGAACATCCTACCTGGGTGCTGTGTCCTCAGGCACAGTGCCGACATTGGTGAAGCCCTGGAGTGGGGAGATACACCATCTTCTCTTTCAGGGGTCCCTTCCCGTCTTCACAGCTTTCCTAGAGCCGCACACTCAGAAGCTGCACTTCCCACAGGTGCCAGCTTGCGGCTCAAGTGCACTTTCTCTTTCATTCCAGGTCTTCGACTCACAGAGGCTCACCTTGGGTAGTGGGTAAGGCTGAGGGACTGGCTTTACTTTCTCTCCTTAAAGCCCAGTGTGGATTGCCAACTGCTGGCTTTCGAATATGGGCATTTACCTATTAACCTCAGCTGGGACCACTTCTGAGCCAATATTAAGTCCCATTCCACTTCCTAACCTGATAATCAGGAGAGAATACAGGTGAGGTAGCCAGCACCAGACTGAAGTGTTTGTCAGGTGGACACCCCAGGAGGGACCACTTATCCAGAGCACCAAGGCCTCAAAGCAATGCCTAAAGGCCCAAGGAATTGAATATCCCGTGCCCAGGGCCTTCGAAGCCCATCTCTGCTTAGTGTCCTTTCTCCATGGCTGACACACAGCTGCCCTCAGGGCGATGCTGACTTTCCTCAGGGCCTGAGTTCCCACCACCTCCTCCTGTGCTGCAGCCCATCTGGGAAGGGCCCACCATGGACCTCATGCTCCTCACCTCTGCACCCACACCTGCCTGGAGCCTGCTATCCAGACGGAGTCAGAAGGGCTGTGTGCACCTCAGCCTCCAAGGACAGAGTGTTGAACTATTCCCTCAGGCTACCACTCCCCCAGCTGTCTATGCCGTAGGCCACAGGTGTGAGATGGGGGAGCCCAAGCCTTCCATTTCTCTCCTCAAACTGGGCAGCTCCTGTCTTCCCAGGTGCCCAGCTGTGTCCTGCCCCTGAGCCCCACTTCTACTCCCCACTCCGCCCCTCAGGTCTCTCCCCAAGTTTGGCCCAGAGTGGGGTCCAGCCTCCTGATGGCCCTCCTGGCTGCTCTCCAACAGTCCCATGTGCCCCACTCCATCCAAGAATCGCAGTGCAGAGACAAACAGGGAATGGGTCTTTAAATCCTCCCCCACCCCGCCCCCCACTTCCTGGGCTAGTGGCTGCTCCCTCAGAGACAGGCCTGGTGGCTCTTCCTCTCCCAGCTCCATGGCTGAGGGCAGGCTGACTTCAGCACTCAGAGCCAGGCACCGTCCGGCCCCCTGAGCTGAGCTGATAACAGGGCTGTGTACCCACACACAGCTCCTCCCTCCATGCTCCCCACTTTCTCTTGCCCCTCTCCTTACAGCCCATTCTTCATGCTGCAGCCCTAAAGGTGTTTGGAAACACAAATTCTGTCAGACAACCCCACGCTTAACCCTTCAATGGCTTCCACTGCTCTTAAGACATAGAAAAGCCCTAATGTGCGAGGGGGAGGAGGAAATGCTACAATGTCACTGGCGTATGGGGTTAAGAAGTGGGTTTTATTGGGGAAACTAAAATACCAAAGGTCAGCAAGCAGAGGCATGCTGTCCCTCTCAGTGTATGTGTACGTGGGCCAGGCTGCCATCACACCAGGGGGCTGGGTGCCAGGGCAGGGATCTGCCCCTGCTACTGCCCCTTTGTAATGCATGATCAGAACAGCCTTGTTTTGGGAAAAGAGCAGCCAAACTCAGGCACCAGGCAGTCTGGGTGTAGCTGCCAGTTGAGCAGAGAGGCATCTGAGAGCACCAGCTACCGGCACCTGGAGACTTTACTGGAAGCTGGACTCAGACCCTGGGAGAAGGGGAGGCCTGATGGCGTGGGGAGTCGGGTTCAGGTGCAGAACCTCTTGCTGGAGGAGGACGAACCAGCTGGGTGCCTGGGGACCTGAACTTCTGGGGCCCCATCAAGGGGGTTGGGGGGTGGTCCTCACTGTGCTCTAGCTGAGCTGGCCTCCTCTCAGACCACAGAATACACAGTCCCTCTGTCACTAGCCTCTGCTCACACACTGCTGCTGAAAACTTCCCCTGCCCCTTCTCTGGGTCTTGGCTCTAACACCACCTCAGCAAGGTGTCAAGGAAGCCATCCTGAGGACCCCACTGTTCACAGCCTCCCGTCCATCCTTCGAAGCACTCAACAGTAGTGTCATTTATAGTGACTGTCCTCTGATTATGTCTGTCTCTCTCTCTAGTCCATAAACAGGTCTACTTGATTTGCCTTTGTGGCTCATTGCCCAGCAGAGTGCCTAGCACATTGTATCAGAAAAATTAAAATCTCCCTGGTCCTTGCTTCTCAAAATGTGGTTCAAGGACCAGCCACATCAGTGTTACCTGGAGCTTGTTAGAAATGCTCCAGACCTACTGAATCAGGTGACTCGTCCACACATGCTAAATGAAAGAGGTGCTGATCTAGACTCTTCAGAGGACTTGGGGACTGATAATAGGTGGTGGAAGCCAGTCAGAGGGGACACTGAGGCAACAGCCAGATTGCACTGCCTTGCCCAAGGCTGGATGGACAATAGGAGGAAGGGGGTGCTGGTGTCCCAGGGCCTGTGGCTATTCAGCAGGGTGCCACATGGAGGAATGGCCTGAGCCCTGGGTGGGCATCTATGCCAGCTCTCTGCCTGACTAGCCTCTGGATTCCATGGACCAGCCCCAGCCACCCTTCTGTTCAGCCTGGCCTGGGGTCTATGGGAGATCACACTCATTTCCCTTCATCCCCACTCCCACCCACCATGCCAGGGAGATCTGAGGGTTGAGTGTGTGTTGTGGTACCTGGAGCCCTCACCCACAGCTTTGCACTGACAGCTGCCTGCTCTTCACACCTCGCTGGCATGGCTGGAGGTGGGAAAAGCTTTCCAAGCCTCTCACCCATAGGGGAGTATCAGGGACATAGGAAGTGGGAGGCTTAAGAGCTGCCCTGGGGTGGCATACAGGGCCTGGGCATCTGCACAGCTGTGGGGAGACGGGGACGCAGGGGGTGTGATGTTCTTTGTTAGAGGAAGCAGGAGTTATAAACAACTCAGCAGTGGGCCCTCAGCAGACACTAACCCACACTTGTTGAGGGACTGGAATCAACCGGCATAATGGACACTGTCCACAGGCCCCCAGTGCCAACTTTACTTACAGGTTTTCTAAGCCCCAGAATTCCCGTCCTTAGTAGAGAAGTCCTGAAAGCATTTGTAAGAAAAGCCAGAAAGGTAGGAGGCCCCTGGCCCCTGCATTTCTGTATTTCTGGCCGTAGCACCCCACGTCCAGGGAATCACATCTCACTACCCTCCAGCCTGACCCAGCAGGCAGCTCTGTAATGCCATTGCTGTCCTGCCTGCTGCTAGGGATCAGTTTCCTCATCCTGAGGCTGGCAAGGGCTATCTGGTTACCCAGAGACTCCTGGGAAACTCCCAGGAGCTGTTTCCCGGGGAATATTAAATGTCTCAACAAGCATATTCCCGTAGGCACCTGGTCAGCAGCTTACCTGGGCCCTCCATCACCTGGAACCTACTGGGTTCCAAGCAAACCCTATCAGGACAGGGCCCTCCTTCCCATGGCCTGAGAGGGGGGACATAAATGCAGAAACTCAGAAAATCCTTGCTTTACTACTGCCTTACACCATAGGGTGTAACTCTGCCTTTTTACCTGCCCTGGGTCTAGAGGTGCTATCCATGCCCCTCCCCCCCATATACCAATGCATATCTGTTCTTGGGAGCCAGCCAAGTGGCCCAGCGGTCCTGCTAATGTCCTCAGAGGCACCTGAGAGTCCTTTGGTCCCTGTGGCCCACCTCTCTTTCTGTGGCTCCTCCCATCCTTACTCTCCACTCCAGGATGCTCCCACTGAGTCTCCTCCTGTGCAGCCTATGCTAGCAAAGGGGGGCAGATGGGGGAAAGCCACGGGGCAGCATCTACACAACACTGTGGGACTGTTTCCTGTCCCCACAGGAACACCTGTGGTAGCTCCTGGGCTTGGCATCTCCTGGTGCCCACATTCCTGGCCTGGGGTCCTACACCAGTGCATTTCAGAGTTGTTTCCTATACCGCTCCTGCCTGGTCCATGTATGTTGTCTCAGTGAGTCCAGTCTGGGGCTTCCAACTTCATACCCATCCAAGTGCCATGCATTCATCAAACTATAGCAGTATGCCATGCTCTGTGCCATGCTGGCATCAGTCACAGCAGCTACCCCAGGTGAGTTTGCTGCATAAGCAGGAGGGAAACA